ATTTTGACCAAATTTGTCCTAGAGCATCTTTGGACAAAGGAGACTCAAGTTTGTATAAACGGAGGGTGTGGCCTCTTTGGGGGCAGAGGGGCAGGGCCAAATAGGGGAAGTAGAGGATTTTTTCTCTCCTACTATACAAGTGAAGGGATTTAAACCAAATGCAGTCTGAAGCTTGGTCAGGAGCATCATTGGCCAAAGGGTTCTCAGTTTTGTATAAACGGGCGGTATAGCCCCCCCTGCACCATGGGATAAGCTCACTTGGCCCTTCGGGCCAGGTGAGCTAAAAACAGAGGAATAACTAAGGGGGTGGAGCCCCAATTATACCATATGGTATAACCAAAACAGGTTGGTTATACCATGACTAGATCAAAGGGGAAAATGACACGTCTATGCGACAATGTATGAAATGGGTACAGTTTATATATTGTATGTAAAGAGGTTCATATTGTGGGCAGGGAGTACATATTGTATGTCAGGAGGTGCATATTGTATGTCAGATTGAAATACGGTCATAAACCTAAATTAACTGGCCACTTTCCCTCCACACTTCAAATGTGGAAGTTTTTCAAAGGGTTGATAAAAGAACAAGAACAAAAGCCAAATCTTTCTGTGAAATTTTATTACACAGGGATATACACATCAATGTAAAGTGTATTTGGTTGTGATTGCACCGTTCCATTTCATCGTTCTACAAAGATCCTTTATGAACACACCTATAAATGCAATGACAACAAGGACTCCATATAACATGCTGTACAACTAGATCCACATGAATCAGAAAAAAATACAATTCTTGAACAACACAATAAACATGATGTATTCACAACTTACAATTTTGTGATGAATATGAAAGCACAACATGTTATTTTGACACTATGATAGTATTAATGAAATGATTAAGTTTAATGTTTGGTATAGTATGTTTTTGAACAATGAATGAATCTAGAATTTCTCCAGAATAATAAGATACACTGGAAAAGTCATATAAAAAAAATGTAAGTAGGCTTAAAATCTATGTCAGCTTTTGAAGTTTTTCTACAAATTTGTTTTACCAACTAAATTTTAGCTGTAACTTTGATTACTGAACTTCTGGATTCAAACACACACCAAGGTATGTTTGAAAAGAACTTAAGTAATGGTTCTATGATCATTTCTTCATTAAAGAAAACTGTTTGTTCTATCACATGCAAACTAACATTCATTTAAATGACATTTTTAAACAAGCATTAAATTAATGTATATTTTACAAATGTACGCCCTAATATTCAATTTAAACAACAAATAGTTAAGTGAAAGAAAAATAAAGTGAGATTCCTAACTACAGATTTTTTTCCCATGAAATTATAACAATGTCTATTTCTTCTTTAACACCTTTAGATGTCTCATTCTCAAAATGAATTCATCAGAAAAATACTTATTTTTATGCAAATGAAATCCAGCATGCAAAGATTTGTGTAGTTTAAAGACAGGTCCCAAAATTGACCAAGTCTGATATTACACTAAAGTTCAAATGTAACATAATTTGTGATTTTATACATCTTTAATGATTCCCGAATCTTCAGCATCCTAGCGTTGTCTGCGACCGGGAGCAGGTGAGGAAACTCTTGATGAACTGCGTGAACTTGGGGCAGTCTCTTCTTCTGATTGGTCCTATTAGAGTAAATTTATTCTTTCATCAAGAACCTGAAAGATGATCATGCATAAAGAAGCTGTTAGACATGCAAAAGCAACTAGATCAAGAAAAGCTGTATATCAAACTTATCAGAAGATAGGAGGAATCCACTGCCAGTATTAAAGTAACCAAGTCAAGTAATCTAATTAAAATCAGATCTTATTTGCCTCTACATTTTTATGCACTTCCTTACACTTGCCAAGGATAATAAAACTCTATTTAGGTGTCCACACTTAGGTGACCTTTGATCCCCAAACTTGTCTCTGTGAATGTGGAAGAATAATTGCAATAGGCAATAAGATCTGATTTTTATTTGACAGCAAGAAAACATGCTTGTAGGATAAGTTTGAAATAAACAAATTATAAAACCTCTATAGCAAATATGACAGAAAAAAGATGTGCCGTGTGTAGACTACGATTGTACTAAAGGATCAATCATTGCACCATTATTATACATTTTTTATAATGCACAGTGATTACTTATATATATAATTAGTTGGAAGTTAGCAAGATTATAATTCTATATGTCTTAAAAGCTTTCCTAAGATTTAAAACGAACTCAATGAAAAAGATGGTTATAGACCAAGTTACAACAAGTTTGATACACTGTAAAAGAGGCAATGGTAGCACTACACAAATTTTCCCTAATATCGCCTTGAAAAATTGGAACAAAAACATGCATGATATAATGACACACTTTAAAATATGTATCACAACTGCATTGCAAATCAGAAATTTTTCGCACCACAAATACTCTTAAGATGTTCATTTTACAGTATAACTTGTATGATGAAGAAATATCATGCTTATATAGGGAAGCAGCAAGGATACAGACATGCAAAAGCAACTACAAGAAAAAGAGCTGCATACAGAATTTAACAGCCCAGGAATATCTATCCATTTCCAAAATTAGTAGCAACACAAACTTTTCCACATAGAATCATTGGTTTTGTTAAAAACTTGTTCGAGATGAGAAATGTTTTTCAATTCATAAATTTTATAGTAAACAGCTGTAATAATTTTGACACAGAAAAATGACAGGTACTCTCTAACAATTCATTTTGTTTTTTAAATGTCCTAGATTTAAATGATCACTATCAGTTAGAGACCATGGACATATTTTTTCAGGTGCTAACAACGCCTGACAAAACTTGGGCCTGATCTTAATCTTTAAAAAAAATATGGCGAAGGTATTAATGATGACTAGCTCACCTCATCCTCTGCATCGTCATCATCATCACTGATTACGGGCCGTGACTTTCCTCTAGATTTGCGTTGTTTCCTAGCACTACCTGACTTCTCCTGTAATCATACATAAACATCACAGCTCCATGTTCAGATTCCAAAACGGCTTAGACGTTATCAAGTTTCCAAACCAACATTACAGTTCAAACACTATCAACTTTACAAAAAACATCACATCTTGTGATATCGAGCGGGTAAATGTTATAAAGTTTACAAAACAAAATCACAACTTAAACATTGTCAAGTTTCAAAATTAACATCACAGCTTAAACTTCATCAAGTTTACAAAACGCCTGTACTGTTTAAACATCTATCATGATTTTAATATACATAAGTTTTTATCACATCACAAAGCATGAATACTTATCCTGTGACGATGTGAATTTAAACTCCTGTCAAAAGCCCAGCACAAGAAAGTAACAATTTTTCTAAAAAACAATCATGTCTTGCAAGAGAAACAAGATAACTTCTAACATTTTATGATTATGATTTAAATCCAATCTAATGCTTTATTCTCAAATATTTGTGGAAAATATCAACATACTCCAATACTCCACTCACAGATATCATCTATATGTCTTTGATACATTATTATCTGTCACACCATAAATGATACTCTATTTCAAACTCTCACACTTTTCATCAACAGCTTCAATAAATGACAGTAAGTTAGCCTAAATAAATACCACATACCTTCCTTGATTCCTTTAACTTCACTTTCTGAACTTTTACCACTTCTGTAACACAATCAAAATAACATTTTATAAACATAGTCAGCAGTGTTATTATCATTCTTCAATAGAAATATATCTATTTAATAATATTTGCTGTTACAATAAATTGGCCCTCATTACAGAGGGCTTGAAGTTTTAAATGTAGCGAACATTTCCTGATACATGTATAAAGTATAATTCAGCATAGTTGAATGAGGACCAATGCTCTTCCTGATATTGACTTTGCTAATGGCAAACTCAGTTGAAAACCTATCAGCATAATATTAGGTTGTTAAACACTAAAATAGGATAATACAATAGAAGGAGTTTGTTTATGTAACGTCCAGGTTTCTTAAATTAAATCCCAACATCTAAATTGAGAAAAATCTGTGTCATTTGTAAAATGAGACTGATAGGGTACCTTCGTCATCATCGTCTCCATTATCATCATCATCATCTGCCTCACTGCTGGCACTTTCATCAGAAGAAACATTAAATCCATCCTTTTCCAGTCTCTCTCTTGCATTGGTAAACACGGACTGGAGCACAATTGAATCCTCATAGATCTACAATTAAGAATAGATGACTTCTTCACACATGTAAAACTGCAAAATTCATTGGCCTGGAGCATCCTTGGGCAAATGGGACTTAAGTTTGTATAAACGGAAGGTGTGGCCCCTCTGTGTGCAGAGGTACAGGACCCAAAAGGGAATCTTGAATAGGTCAGTCAAAAGGACATAGCTCATTTTCACATAATGGCAGTTAAAGGTCTACTGCTAAAATTTGAAAAGTTATTTAAAAACAAGAAGGAAGTTATGATAACTGGCTTGGGCAAATGCGGATACTGACCAGTGATCCCTCAATGTTGTAGGACTGTGCATTTTCACACAGGGTAAGAACTTCAGATTCAAGGTCATCAATACTCCTGTATTTGTGGTCCCTGATACGTGCCTGCAAGTATTCATTCAATACAAGACTTAAAATGTGCAAATATGAGTTCACAAGTTAACTTATGGAATTTATATCTCACACAGATACTTGCAGGACATAGTATATATCACTTGTTCATTTACTGTTATTTAGTGTAGACATACAGTTAAAAAGAATGAAAAATCCTAGAGCAATTATGCTGGAAACTCTTTAGCAAGCATTGGAAAAAAATAATCAAGTACCTTTCCATTTTTTATATTTAAAATAATGAATACATAATTTTTATCTGAAGATTCATCAAACAGGTAACTGTAATAGCATTTGCACATTTGAAACTCAGTAAGTGCCTGTGTATAACTATCTTTAGCATGAATTCTTAATCTGGGCAATTATTAGTCCTACGTCAATTTTACTTCCCAATCTTTTAGCGACCTATTTATTTAGGTGTCAAGATCAAATCAACTCACCTTTATCTTTTTAAAGTCAACTGGTTTGATTATGATCTCGTAGTATTCTGGTAGTTCTTTTTTGGATGGCAGCTGAAAGAAGGCATCACTCAAGACTCTTCCATCACTATGGAGATCAAAATAGTAAGTGTAAGCAACTATATTCAGTGAAAACTTTGACTTGGTATAACCCACCTCATACGTTTATTTTCATTAACCTCAGTAAATAATACAAAATTCTATAGAAGCATAAGCTTGTTACCTCTTCCTGCATACTATATAATTGTCTATCCGGATCTATCACAGGTTTCTGAGAAAGATATTGTACATATAAATTACAAAATGGAATTACACCGAAGAAAGAAAATATAGTGAAACCAGTCTTAAAATGGCATCAAGAAGGAATTTAATTCATTAGTGGTATTGGAAAATATATCTGAAAAATGAACTTTTAAAACAGATGAAGATTTTTTTTACGTCTTAGAATCATGTCATTTGATATATAGGGTGACCTTAAAATCAGGATATTCTGTATCTTCAAATCTATCTTATATTATTCTAGATTTTTAATCCAACATACTTGTCTTTGTAATGAATGATGACATCAAGAAGTTTCTTCATCATCTTTGTGAGTTTGGGTGGGTTTGGGGGCAGCTTTTCAACTGGTGGTCGTCCTCTCTTTTTCTTCGGTTTCTTGTCATCATCGTCCTCCACCACCATCATCTTTCGTTTCTTAGTTTTCTTCTTCTCCTTCTCCGGGACTGGTGGAACTCTCTTCACCTGCTCCTCAACCTCCTCTAAGTTACCATCTTCTATAGCCTGTCACACAGCGATAAATTTAAATATAAATCAACCATGTTGAGAAATTACATAGACTGTGGATATTTTACACTTAAGTGTTCTTCCTCCACTTATTAGCAACAGTAGTTATTTATTCATAATTCACTTCTTTAACAGACATGTCTTACATTGTGAATATATGATTTTTTCATTTGATAACTGAATTCATGACTGATGCTAAACACAAATTTAGCGAAAAATTAACGCTATGTAATTTATACAGTATTTGAAGATAATACTAACTTTCGTGAAGTTTTTGTCACATTTTTATCATAAACAAGCCATTTGGATTTATATGCCTCTCCTAAGCCCTGCTTTCACCATCAATGCACATGTGAAGTTTGGTTGGTCTATGCACTTATTGTTTTAGAGAAACTGACTTAAACGCAAAAACTTAAATGTTGATTGAGATGCTGACAAAGTCAATGGACCATGAAAGGTAGGTCGCATTCAGCATTTGATGCATGGGTTGAGATGTTCTTCCTAAGATGCATCTATGGTCCAAGTTTGGTTGGGGTAGCTCTTATACTTTCAGTGAAACTAACTTAAACGCAAAAACTGAATGTTGACACCACCGTCGGAAAAGCAACAATGTAGTCTCGCTTCCGCTACTTCGTGGTGGCGAGACTAACATTGGAGAGAAATCACTTGGATTTAAAGCAAAACCATTTTTTGGGTTTGAAGTTAATATAACAATTCCATGCTATAGGAAACAAATAGGATGCTGTATATGCAAGACTTCGCAAAAGTGTGTAAACATCAGTAAATGTGCTTAGTTTTCATATTAATTGACATACCCATGTACGGAATTTATCATCTTAAGTAAAAAGAATTCCCCTCAATTTTTTAACTATCAATCTATCTTAAGGGTTTTTTCAAGATTAAAACTCCTCAGTAATGCAATCAGATAGCCGACAAACACAGTTTTATGACTGTGATTAGATCATGCTTGTAACTTCCATTATATTATAGCAAGAGACCACATGTATTCAACCTGATTGTAATGGTGTTTATACTTTGTATTATTCATATAAAAGAACACCAATATATTATAATAAAAGATATGCAAACCTTGAGCCATTGTTTCTCTGTGAGAGAGTCGGTGTAGTCCACTTCCTTCCTTTGTCTTTCTCCGCGCCCAAATATCTTGTCTTCTTCATCTTCAAAGGTCAGTCTCTCAACCTACAAAGACAAAATCCAGGATTGGTACATTTAAAATGAATTCTTATGCATCTAGGAAAATTACATTTTAGCAAAAGATACCATTTTAGCATTGCCTGCTGAAGAATTGATGATTATTTTCTGATCAATTTGCATTATTTAACAACATTGCTTTGTTCGGCTAGGGAAAATACATTATTTCAAGGATTTCTTACCTCAGCTTCATCCTTGACTATCCAGGCTGGCAGTTCATCCTGTTCCATGAGTCGGGGTTTTCTATTGGGATTTCTAGCTTCCTCTCGTCTTCTCTCTATATCCATTTTCTGACAACAGAGTGAGCAAGTTATTGTATTGAAATAATTCAAGCAGTCATAGTCACACAATGCTGCCATAATATTGTTCTTACTACACTAAAATATGTACTATTTTGTTCCTGTGGACTATTGTGATCTTAAATATCATCAACAATAAACTTTGTATAAATCATATTTTTCTTTTTTTGGATAAATCAGTGTACTTCAGTTGGTATAGGATTAGAAAGACCTCTCCACTAACGCTGGTATTACTACTATTTGTCTGTCATGGACAATACAAGTTGATGATATAAATTTGTTTGCCATCCGAAGGTTTACCTGATATTGATCAAATTCATCCTCAGTTCTCGCCAACATCTGATTGATTGTTTCATCATCAGGTACCTCATCTTCCTCCTGAAATCATCAAATAACGAAAGTGTCGATTTTCAGCTTAATGTTAGGTTTCTTATATATTGATAATCCCTTCATCTGTACTCAACCAGCAGTTTTAAAGATTAAGACCTTTTCCCCATTTAACTCGCTCGTCTGCCCTCAGGGAGTCACCCTTCATTAATAAAACATTGAATTCCTCTCCCCAAGATGATACATGCCAAACTGAGTGAAAACCCCTTGAGCAATTCTAAAATAGAAGTCTTTAAAAGGAAAGTTTCATGCCAGAAGCTGGACAGTAGCATTAACTCACTTGGCCCTATGAGCCAGATATGATAATTTTATCATCTAATTTTCTGTTTCAATTTTATTGTTAAACATTCCAGAAAATATGGAATATTTGATTTTTCTTCTGGAAATGGTGCTTATGAACTATTGATTTTTTTTCTCTGGTACTGAAAGTTTTGAAGAAAGTAAACCCAAGTTTGGACTATCACTTCCGATATATTAACTACCTTATTCATATTTTAATTTATTTTTCACACCCAAAGATATAATGGCATGTACAAAGTTTCATTTCTATTTAAGTGTAATCTAACTGAAAAGTTTGCTTACCTCAGCTTCATCATTCTCTTGCAAGAGCAGTGTTGTTAAAAATTGGCGTCTCTCTGTTCCTGTTGACTTGTTGTCAAACATACCAGCCTGGATGACCTTCTCGTCCACATTTAACTTATATCGTGCAGCAGCCAGGATCCTCTCCTCCACACTGTTCACGGTCATAAGACGCAGCACACGTACTTCATTCTGCTGACCGATTCTGTGAGCTCTGTCTTGAGCTTGCAAGTCCTACAAGGGAAAAAATCCAAAAAAATTACAACTGCACAAATTAAAATCATCATCAATGATCTCATGTTTGAAATATACTATATCTAATGTTAAAATGAAACCACAACTGTTTTCATAATATATCATGTGCTTTGTATTAAGAGCAACACAAACCTGATGAGGATTCCAGTCAGAGTCGTATATGATAACAGTATCAGCAGCCTGGAGGTTCAAGCCCAGCCCTCCAGCCCTTGTACTCAGTAAGAAAACAAAGTAGGGGGAGTCGGGACAATTGAACACACTTAGGAGCTGGCCTCTGTCGTCTGCCTTAGTCGTACCATCGAGACGAAGGTATCGGTAACCTACAACAAACAATCAGGACATTGGTATAAAATCAGGACTCCATACAAAACTAGCTGACTTTCCATTTGTTCTTTAATGTGACATCGTTAAAACTTCTGTCCCACTCATTATCATTTTATGGACCATGATACTATTGGTTGATAAGTGATAAAGGCCCATCAACACAATAAGTCATGTAGGGTCACATGGTAGTCTTAACAGTCCCAAATTTGATCAAGTAGATGGATTTTTATTTCTTTTTTATGTTGCCTATTAAAGCAGAGTCCACAGAAGAAAATACCCAGCTAAGACGCCTGGTCTCCTTTTTGGCGCCTGGACTCCATTTTGAACATTTTCTATAGTGTATCCAATAACAAACTTGATGTAGAATGTCAAGGATAAAGAATTGTAGCTTTTTCGAGATCTAAATCAACAATACAGATGAGATCCCACAATTTGAACAAAGCTAAAATTCATAATATGATTGATCACATGTGCAGAGATCTGTACCGCTGTCGTGCTCGGATATAGCGTTACATTTACATACACACCTTTGTAGACAAAGTAGTCCTCCATGATGCTCATGAGAGAGGTCATCTGACAGAAGAGCAGCACTCGATGGCCTGAAGCCTTCAGTTTTGGGAACATCCTGTCCAGCAGCTCAAACTTCCCGGCAGCTCGGTACAACTCTGCCCTGTGAAAGAAATGTTAAACATTGCAATAAAAACAAAAACGAAAGAGGATTGCAAATATATTGCATATTACAGAAGTTTTTATAAGGAATTCATATATTTGTCATGGGGCTCAATATATCTCTGAAGGTCCATAATATAAATATTTATATTTTTCATCATGTATTTGTATGAGCCTTAAGGAGGATGGGGGCATCCTTCTTAGGCTCATACAAATACACAGCAAAGAACAAGTCTGTGACCATGTCTATTTTGATTTTGAAGTAGAAGAATGCTCCCACGGACCACAGACTGATCAGCACAGCAAGAGGTACAGATTTTGTTCTCGTTAATGTCTCATTTTCTTAAGATACCAATTCAGAAGGAAATTTTAAGGAGTAAACTGTAAATGTTGGAAATTATAAGACATAAATTTGATAAAAAGTTTCCATTGTGTATGGGGGCCCATTATTGGCTCCAAAAAAAACAAAAAAACAAAAAACACTTGATCAGGAAAAACTGATTGCATACCCTTGCACAACATTGGTTGACAGGCCTAGTTGTTCTGCAAAAGCCTCCTCTAAATGTGGGAACATGAAGGGATGATTGCAGATCTTTCTCAACTGCATGATAGTATTCATCATTGTCTTTGCACCTCCTTTGCCCTGTGTTAATAATATGAAACATTTGTGGTTGAATTCTCTCTTGCTTTTTATCTTTACAAATTATTTCAATGATATTGTGTTAACTTTTGCTGTTTGCTGGTACATTTGAAATTTAGTCGGTTAAATAATTGTGGTTCAACTGCAAGCACGAAAGTAAATACATTTAGAAAGTTTATGCTATAAACTATATGGTGTATACCCACCTTTTTGTCCTTTTCTGACCCATCAGTCAACAAAATGCCTCTGGACGCCATGTGTCTGTATACAACACGTTGGAGTGCTGACATCTCACATTTGATCACATACTCAACCTGTAAAGATCCAACAGTTGCAATGTCAATTTAAACTAAAAGCAAAACATAAATTTGATACAAGAGAAGCAATGTTTTCTTCTAGGAAAACAATGCCCTTGTGTCATGTCTTTGTTCAGAAATGTGTCTGATTATTTTTATGCCAATTTAGAAAAAATTGGCAGAAATAACATTAAAAAGATATCGGGTAAAAATTAAACCCACAAAAAGAAATAACTTTTTGTTCAACTATCATACCTTGTCAGGTAGCTGAGATTCAACCTCTTTCTTCAGACGACGAAGCAAGAATGGACGCAGCACTTTGTGTAAACGTCGGATGATAAGGAGGGTTTCTTCCTGGTTTAACTCAACCTAGAATTACAAGCAAATGAACTACCAAAATATACAGGAATACCGCCATGTCACAATAGTGGAAATTGTCTGCAATAATAACAAAACCTCACGAGAGAAATAAGCCTTTTACCAGAACTTTTATAGTATCCAGAATATTTTAAGATTCAATTTTCTGAATGAGATGCAATACAGTTTTGTCATAAGATTTAAATTTCATTTTATACTAAATAAGGAAGATTGAAAGTGATAAATATATTCTGCAAAAGTCATAGAAAGGAAAGAAAAAATATGAATTACATATATATCATACTGTTGCGATATATAGTGCTGAGATAAAGATCCATTCTCACTTATACAAAACACAGGTAACCTGCAAGTTTAACACAGAAATGAGCTTTAGGATGTGTAATAACTGACATATAGATCTGTACAGTACCTTTTCTCCAGTCATAGCAAAAGGTGCATTAAACCATTGCTCAAATGTAGTGCAGGACTTGAAGATACTTGGCAACAGGAAGTTAAGCAGGGCCCACAACTCTGGAAGTTTGTTCTGTAGATAAATAGCAATACACTCAAATTACAATGGTGTATCATTTGGCTTTCACAAAATTCTTTTTAGTATTGAGCTTCAAACAACATCTCATGATGATCTTAATTTATAAAAGGACCAATAAAATTTGTATTTATTAACTAAACTTGCTTGTTTAACTTTCCTTGTGAAAAATCTAATCTTAATATTTTGTGTAAGACAGGGTGGTTGGACACCCAAGTTGATTTACCTGTAGAGGTGTGCCAGTCAATAAGAGACGGTGGGGAGCAATGTAGTGGGTGTTTAGCACCTGTGTCAGTTTACAATGGTGGTTCTTCATACGATGTCCTTCATCAATGATCATGTACTTCCATCGTATCTGTAACATTTGAAAGGTTAAACTGGTAGAGGATGTACAACACATTCCTGAAATTTAACTTTTTCTATAAAACATTGATATCTGACTTTTGAAATCAGTAACAGATCACATTTGAATTCTCATGAAATAATATATATGAAAGCACTTTGAATGTAATAATGATGAGCTATTATCACACAGGTCCCCGTCCCCCCCCCCCCCCCCCCCCCTCACGAAACCAAGCAAAACATAAACACTTCTAGTGCAATATTATTCTAATTTATACAATTATAGCAATTTTAAGATATTGAGATCCACTAGTGTGAGTTTTGCTGCCTATGTCAACTGTTTGTCTATTTACCTTTGCTAACACAGACTTGTCCTTGATGATGTATTCGTATGTGGTTAGCAGCACGTTGAACTTGCCCATCTTGAGTTGTGGTGATAGGGCTTTTCGAGTGAGTGGAGAACCTTTGTATGATACAGTGATGACAGAGGGAGCCCATTTTTCTATTTCCAAAAGCCAGTTGGACAGCGTTCTGAAACACAAACACAACACATGTTTTACTAATTTGATAATGTCCCCATTTCCTTCTAGAATATTGTCATTTCCTGTAAGTAAATGCTATTTGCAAAGAAGACATCAAAGGTGGTTTATTTACATGGATCAGAATCTCAGCTGATGTTTATGACAACATCTGTAATAGATCATTTTATGATACAACATTCACTGTGACGCAGTAGGACAAAGGATAACAGGAAATTTGGATGGAATTTCCTTCACAATTGATTTGCTCACAACCTTTTGTGGCAAGCCTAGCCTTAGCCTATACTGTGAATTTTTCGCAGCAGTTTTACTTTAGCCCCCCCCCCCCCCCCCCCCCCCTTCTGTAATGAGGACAAATTTATCATGGCAGGCAAATATTAGTACACAACCAACCATACATACCAGGTTGTCACAACATGTGAAGGGCAAAATTAACACTGTGTCACACCATGAAAACAGATTATACAGGCGAAGAGTGAAAATTTGAATTGAACGAAAGTTTCTTGGCATACAGTATTCAATATATGTATAATGCATTTTTACTCTCTCAGGTTTATGTTTTCTGTGAAGATAAAGCTATATACATACGAGAGTGGCACAATGATCAGGAATGGCCCATTAATCTTCTTGGACTCCATAAGATAGGTGATCAAGCCAATGGTTTGGATGGTCTTGCCCAGACCCATTTCATCGGCCAGGATACCATTCAAGTTGTTGTTATATAAAGACACCATCCACTCCAATCCTTTGACCTGTAACAACACCAGATACAGTTAGTTCTGCTACACAGTTATATTACAATACTAATCCACATCCTGACAAGGGAAGTAATAAATTACGTGACTAACACCACTAATTTCCAAACTTCCACAGTTAAAATATTTCTAGTATAATGCTGGATATTATTAATAATGTTTGTTAAACGTTTTTACAGTAACCAATCTGTATTTCTGGAAACTTTTTTTTCACATACTTTTGAAATGATAAAATGATGATTTTCATCACAAGGTGGAAACATTTCTAATTCTACATTGTATGGTATACTTTCAAAAAATTGTAGTTTGTTTTATATCATAATCATATAAAGATTTAAATTCAAAAATTTCAGATCAAAGAAATAGAAATACAGTAGATTTTCCATTTCTAACAGGATTTGTATGTGATGGTGTTTTTTTTTCCCAGTGGAAAACTACCGACATTTAAAATAAAATAAAAATGGTTATGTATATATATTAAAGAATTTTGCCAAGATTGGATCCTGGTTTGGTTACTACATAGTAACGACAGGATGTAAATCATACATTTTGTACCGGATTCAGTGATGTTGTTGCTCATCATTTCTATTTTCATTTCTTTCGTTATCACATACTACATAGGTAAAGCTTTGGTAAGATTTTTTTTACAGATCTGAGAGTAACCAACTTTCAAAATGAATATAAATGGGTGAGTGGGGGGGGGGGGGGGGGGAGACGTAAATTTTCTAAATTAAGATTGTGTCATGTTCACAAACCTGTAAATGTTTGAAGCCATGCCTGGTAATTTCTTAGGCCATTACTTACCTGGTAATTTTTCAGTGTTCCATTTATCATGATGCTGGCTTGTTCCATCACATCCTCATGGATCGAGTGAGCTACATTATAGTAATTCCTCATCTCCACCTGGTTATGGTATTCGTCGTCGTCCAGACGTTGTTCTGCCGTTCTGTCGAGAAAATAATTGACCTTGTGTCAGAACCAGTTATTAAATGTCATACAAAACTAACATTTAAGCTAGTGTTGTTATTAAAATGCAATTCTTTCAAACATCATTTTTTTATACAAAATTCACCTTTCAAGTAAGAATTGGTAAAATTTTATAAAACCAAGATCCATCTTTTCATGAGATCACAGAAACATAAAAACATAAAACAGTAAATTTTATTATCAAAGCAACATACTTGATAATTTCTGTTGCTTCGTGTTCAGCCAAGTCATCCACTGACTGTATCTGAGGTCTGTTGAGGGCTGGTCGAGGAGGTGGTAATATTTCTTCCGGCTGTTTATATAGAAGCACACATTTCCCATTACATTTTAATTATTTGTCATGTTTTTTTTAATACATCTACTACAAAATCATAAATAAAAAATAATACAACCTCATTTGTGATAAAATTTGGCTACAAGCAAGATCTTATTTAAAGGATTGATATTTACAACTACCTGTATGTAAATTAAAACAATATTCTTTAATTACTGATTGGCATTATTTGATGCAAGTTTAAGAGTGTGTACCTCTTCTTCGTCCTCTTCATCATCATCTTCTTCCCCATCTTCTCTTGGGGCTACCTCATATCTAAATTATGTAAAAAACAACATTAAAGCAATACATTTTATGAAAAAACTGTTAAAAATCATAGCATTACAGATGATACCAGGCCAATATCCTTGCAATTGATAGTGACCAGCAGTGTTAATTGTATAGAATTACTGTAAAAAAGTCTAGTGGTAGTAATGGTAATCTTAGACTGAGAAGTCAATTTGCAGATGTTGAAAGTTATGAAAGTTATGAAGATTTGTTTAACAGTTTCATGAAAATCAAGTAAGAAATTATTTAAGTAAAGTGATGACAGCTTGAAATCTTCAGTAATAGTGATTTTGTTGCTGACCCAGGTAGGTCAAAACACAAACTTGTATATAAAGGATGTTTTGTTTCACAACAATCAGATATGAAAGGAAGTCTGTTTGGCAATGACACCAGAATTCTATTTATTACCTGGTTTTTGACCCTAGAAATTGAAACAAACTTCACAAGAGATAATGTTTTTATGAACACGTGCATGAACTTTTATGACTATCAGATAAGAACGAAATCTGAGGTGAGAAGAGATGGTGTCGGAACATGTTTGATCTTACCCGGGATGCATCTCTAACCAGGATTCAAGCTGACTGGACATTGGAGCATCTTCCCCACTCAGAACTTTACCAGTATTGGTTTCTATCACAGATATTCTTGGTTCACTCATGTTAGAACTCTCATCAGCATTCTGTAAACCAACAATATTCATCTAAAACCAAAGAGCCATCAACACAAACTGCTTTTAACACTTGTATCTTGTTTATAATATACTTCGCCATTTTGTAAAATGAATAATTGAATGTATAGATTGATCACATCCAGTTTTTAGAGAATAAGTCACAGATTATTTTCTTCTTGATGTACATCAAAATTGCTTGTCTTGGTCATAACTTCATTGTATGATGGAACAAGTGGTATTTGGTAAATGATAGTGATACTAAACAAAAAATTGAAGTGTGTACAAAAAAAAATAACAACTTTTAAACACATATATGACAAATATTGATTACATACATCAGGATTATCACTTGTTTCCTTCTTCTTTTTCTTCTTCCTTGCTTGTTTCTTTTTTCTTATATCCTCTTTATGATCCGATAACAAAGACATGAGGTTTGTGATGTATTCGTCAGTCTGGTGAAGGAGGTAGGCAAGACGCTTGTCTTTCTTTTGATCAATGAGTTTCCTGTAACCTTCTTCATCTTCAGCCTAAACGATAAATAAAATCAACTCTTGAGTTCATTACAATTATTCACACATCTCATAATCAAAGACATCAATTTTATAAGGAGTTCAATTTTCATCCCATTTTATCTTTATCTTTAAAGAAAATGGCAAATTCAGTATTGTTATAAATGAATATCACCATATGTCTCATATTCTTTCATTCATACACAAAGGGTGAATAATTTACGTTTACAATGGAATATAATGCTAATACACACTGATACATCAGCACACTTACCATGAGTCTCCTCATTCGCTCTTTCTCGAGTCGCTCTTGTTCCTTCTTCTGTTCCCTTTCTGTATTAGCATGGTGCACCATCACTGCTTTGTTCAGTTTGCTTATCTTGGCAGTCACATTGCGGTGGAATTCTTTAAAGTCTTTGGCATGCTGTAGCACAGCATTTAGATATTCCTACAAACGTAAAAATAGTGAAAATGAAAAAAAATGTTCAAGAAAATATTCATTATAACAAATATGTTTTTAAATTAATGCCTAAGGTGTGATAACAGCATGTAGTAATGGCTCACTTACATGTAACTCTGTCACCATTGGCCAAATAATATACCATCAGCTCAGAGATAATGTCTTAAAAGCATCATCCAATCAGAATTAAGATAGTAGTAAATATGTATTCAAATATGCATCGATTCCACTCATCCTCAAATTTTCAAATAATACATAAACCGACTAATTTAGATATGACATACAGGAGATATTGTACACAAAAGAGAATGAACTGAAAAAAATTATTCCAATATTTTTGCTTAAACAGCCATGGGATAAAATCTTTCAATTAATAATTGGTTAAAATATCAGGTTTTTCAGGAGTATAATCTTGTCGAAGTCCAGAACTAACCTGATGTTTCTGCCTGCGTCGTTTTTCATGCTCCAGTTTCTGCTGCTTCTCCAGCTTTTCTGTAACCCGTGCCTCCCTCAGTGACTGCCTCTTGCTCCTCTTATAGGCTTTTGTGTTCAGTGCTGTCTCCAACGTTGTGTCTTTTCTCATATAGGCTACAACCTCTGACCTCAACTACATTTAAAGAAAAAAGAAATTGTGCTTCAATTTTAACACACAAAATTTAACGGCACAAACATTTCAAACCTAACAGAGAAGTAACACTTGACTAAGTGAATTTCAATTAAAAAATAGACAGTGCGAATCTGTAACAATATAAAACTATCGGGAGTAGAAATATTTTCAAATAAATCAAGATTAAATTTTAAAGGTATGTCAACAAGTTAACCTGTATTGCTGTATTTTTACCTGTCGTTGGAAATTGAGTAATCTCAGAGCTCTAAACTCAATCATGGCTTTGATTTTCATATCTTCCTCCATTATTCCTGGTAGATATTCAAGCTCTTTTATTCTTGATGATATTCTGGATGAAATTCTGAAATACATAAAAATTAAATAGAAATAAGTCAATTATTCCATGACATTATGTCTCATTTTGATAGAAAATATTTATTTATAAAGTTATTTATGTTGGTCATGTGCAAAATTATTTCAATGCTCGGCTAGACTGCATTGAAACCTGCCTTAAAAACCACCTATCTACACAAACAACATGTCAATAACAACCTCCTTAAGAATACTTAAAAGGTTGTTTTCTATAAAATCTGTCTATCAACACCAGTTTACTACTTTTATTAAGATATGTTTCATTGTACATTGGTCATCTTGATATGGATCTTTTTTGTATAGTGCATATCTTTGATATATGATTAGGTTCTACCATCCGTCACAAAGAAAATCTTGCCTGTTTTCTCTTTCATTGAGAATCTCCAAAGGGTCCAGCCCCTGGGGTTTTGCAACAGGCGCAATCCGACTCTGCTTCTGCTGCATGGAAAGCATCGACTGGACAGCTGAAGGTGGTGTTTGCTGAGACTGAGGGCGGGGCTGTGAGGCTGGCTGGGCAGGCTGACCAGGTTGTCCCTGGGGTGGCCCACCTTGGTAATGCATATTCTGTGGAGGCATGTGAGGCTGTGGAGGTTGCTGAGGCATTCTTTGTTGTTGGTTAGAATCTGTAAGAGGCAAATATTGTAAATAATATCCTGCTTGAATTAAATTATTTCATATATTTTTTCTGATCGTATAAAATTTCTTTTTCACATTTACATCTCTTCTGTCCAATCTTACCAGTCATTGGTCTTGATCCGCTCCCGAACTGACGTTTTCCATCAATAGCCATTCGTACATTATCTGGAATGCTCTGGTTTCGTGCAAGCAGTTTGTAGGCCATGATCTGTCCCCTGAGTTGAGTAAGCTGGGGGGTTGAGAAGTTGTATCGGGATGGACCACTGCTCTGGTTTGGTGGCATGTTCTGCTGGCCTGGTTAATAAACAATTTATTAATAAGTTTGACATGCCTAATCTGTATACTAAGTTACTAACAGTCCTGGTTTATAATTATAGGATTTACAGCGATAAATATTGTTTTGCTTACAACAAATCAATTTACAATGGTCAATTCAATTAATCAATTACAGGTAAGTTCAGCATGAACAACTTCATATTTAAGTCATACCTTGCTGATTTTGGTCTTGGTCCATCCTGGGATTAGGTGGACCCTGTGATGAATGGCCGTTACCATGACTCATTGCCCTCATGTCCTCCATTGGCATAGAATGACCCATTGGTCCTCCAGAACTACCATGGTTTCCCATCCCAGTACTATTTCCTGGTATTGGTCCATTCATATCTGGTGCACCCATACCAGGAGATCCCCCAGTGCTACTGGGCATCCCTTGTCCTCCCTGGTTTGCCATGTTGTATCCACCCATATTAGGCCCACCAGACATGTGTAGACCGGATGGCTGACTGACATTTGGTCCTGCACTGCTGGAGCTATTTGGCATGTTTTGAGGTAAATTCATGTTTGGTGGACCACTTGGAGGTGCTGTCATATTTGGTCCTCCCAGCGCAGGGTTAGGCATACTAGAACCAGACATTCCCATAGACCCATTGGGCATACCTTGGTTTGGTCCCATGCTTCCCATCCTATGTGGCTGGCCTCCGCCCATATTCTGACCCCCTGGGCCTGGCATACCTTGCTGACCAGAGTGCATGCCTTGTGGACCGCCAGGCATCATGCCTGGGCCACCAGACATTCCTGGTGGCCCACCAGGCATGCTGTGAGAGGAGCCTGGCATTCCTTGATGACCTCCCATGCCTGGTGAAGGGGAGGTAGCCATCCTCTGACCCTGGTTTTGTGATCGAGGGCCCTGCATACCATGGTGTTGTGGCCCGCCTGGCATTCCCTGGGGCATACTACTAGGCATTCCTGGTGGGTGCATCCCAGATCTGGCCCTGTCAGCCATCGCCATCAGCGTTGCATATCTTGGATCTTCTTGCATCCCTTTTTCTTCCATCTGATTCATTGCCTGAAGAGTTCAATACAATGAAATTTATTGCATGCCAAACTATAGGGGAAATATTGCCAGTGTTGTCTGGATTAAATATTGTTTTAATTTGAAATAATGGCAAGATATGGATATTCTTTCAAAAAGGCCAAACTGCAAGTGAATTGATAAATTCATTAAGTCACAATGTTCATTATCCGACTCATATTTTTGGGTTCATTCATAATTGAGAAACAAATAAAGACTAAGTAGTAACCTTCTGAATCATTTGCATGTTGTCCTGGACCTGGTTCTGCTGTGGGTAACCTGGTACAGGTGGTGGGGGGCCAGGCATCATCTTGTCTTCCCCTGTAGCCATCATGCCACAGAGGATGAAAGCTTCCTGGCCTAATATGAAATACAAAAATAAAGTTTAGAAAGCATTTTCTTTCTACAGAGAAGAGTATCTATATACATACTGTGGACAACTAAATGTTTGCTTTGGACCACTTATGGAGCTGATTTTTGCAAAAGCTAGTTTCTGCAGTATTTATTTCATATTCTGTCAATGTCTGTGCAAATTTTGAAATGTTTATATAGAAATTTTGAAATGTTTATATAGAAAGCATGAAATTAAATATAAATCCCCATTTTCACACCGCAAAAATGTCCACATGAAATTTGTGTCACTCTTTTTCCCAGTACATTTAAAACCAATATTCTTTCTTCCTGTCAGTCAGATAATATGTTTAGATTTACTTACACATGTCTCAATAAACATGTAAGTATATTTCATTTGTTGGTTTCAGTAATAGAAAGTTTATTAGAAATGATGAGTTTGAAATTTTTTCTAATCACATTTTCTTTTTTTTTTACATAAAATCTACCAGTCATTAGATGGAATTTAACACCCCTGCATATGTGCAAGATTCATTATACTTTTTTATTCTGTCAGTAGTAACTGTTCAACACACTTTATTAAATAAAATAATGGCACAGCAATGTAAGGAGTATATTTCTATAATATTTAATGCTAAATCAAGGTCCAGGTTATGGCCATGTTTACTGAAACTTACTCATGGTTTAAAGTACATTTCCACATTAATTATTCAGAGATGTCATTTAACTATAGTATTTTATGAATATTTATTGACACATAACAAGAGTTATTAAACTTATTATACCAGTTATATAATCTTTCATTCTTCCTTTCATTAATTCAAATCTTTGAATTGTAAACAAGAGGTTTAAACTAGTGATTTAGCAATTTTACAAAGAAAATTTTGATGTTTACAATTCATCTGAAATGTTGTTTGCTATAATGAACCAGACTATTACATATCATAATTTTCTCAGATTGTTTTTTTTACATTTCTGCAACTGACATGAAATTTTTTCTAACATTTTCCACACTGCTTGTACAAGATTTTTGAAAAGATCAAGCAAATTTTCCATTAAATGACCGGTTCCTCCATGCTTGCGTGAACCATTGAGGTTGTGCTAGTAAATATAATCCTATCACCTGTTAGATAGAAGTATTCTTGGAGTTGTTACAGTTTCATTTGACAAAAACATAAAATTTCATTGATTATGTCATCATTTAATCCAAAACAGAATTTGCTAAATGCAATTTGATGATTAGTGAAACAAAGTCAACTGAAAATGTATTAGTTTATATTAAACGTATCACTAGCTATGGATTGACACTCCCTAAATATTTGACATAATCAAACCAGACGATAGAGATGAATTTTTAGTTTTGTAACTTGCAAGGATAATTTAAATACCAATTCTTCAATCTAAGAATACTCTGCATCAACTATGGCTAAATAACACCTATGGATACTGATATTTTCTGCATACTAGAATGTATAATAAAAGGACTGAATTGTGTTAAACATGAAGTCACAATATTTTAATGGTTACTTAAACTTACTTTGTACATGGCAATAATGTGGACACAGTGATTGTTTATAAAACCTTAGTAATGAGAAGGAAACTGTTGACAGTATCTGATAACAACTTATGATAAAATAGAAAAAAATCACAAAGGAAAAATATGCATATATATTAAAAGTATTAATTCAATTATAATTACCCTTGAATAGACTTGTATATTTATACACTTAATAAAGTATAAACTAAAGGTTTGTCCTAGTTAACTTTTTTAGCTTCACGATGATATGAAAAAGCAACGCGGCCGTGAATCTACTTTTACTTTGCCTATAAAATACATAATTAACGTAAACAAAGTACACCACTGATTCCATATCCTGCTGATACGGTACACCGGTAACACAACGCGACACCCGTACGGGATAAGACGTAATTCGCGTTTTTTCAAAATTCACACGGTACTTTGACTATTTAACACGTAAAAATACCTGAAATATGATGATTATTATTAATGAAAATATCAGTTTTAAGATAAACGAGCGACAGTAAAAGATCGAAGGAGTGTACAGCGACACTACCAGTACGAGGCCATGTTTGATCCTGGCAATGAGCAGAGACATTTTAAACGTTCATATTCACAATTTACACATAATCCGTCGTATCATATGATCCCTTACTCAACTATTATAATTCTTTAACTCATACTTTCTGAAAAATACACAAACACTTTCAGACGATTATGAACACAACGGACTCGACGTATGGAAGGATCGACCAGAACAGTGTCGGCCGACGATCAACAAAGACACAACACCAGCACCAATAAATCCCATTTTTCCGCCTTTATAGGCCACTTTGAATAAAGAAATGCTCCTGTCACAGTACCTCAAGCTGCAATACACAACTTAACACTCTGTTTACGCAGAGCGACCACGCTGCTTACCGGCTTTAGGGACTTTTCGTTCCTACAGTGGCACAGTGTAGATCAAAGAGTCGATCGGTAATATTCTTTATCGTCACACCGCGCACTGAGTGCGGCGCAGCCCACGCGACCTTGGCGTTTACGAAGAATAGCTATAGTCTATTTCAAGATTACGTCAGCGAGGTCAGGACCGTGACACGATCGTCGGACCTGAGCGGTCATTTACATGTCATGTTGTATTTGTGAACAAATGATACATCACCTAATAGATTTTTCAATGATGAGCAACAAAAACGATTCGAATAAATGAAGGATAAGTGTTTAACACGATCAACCCATGTGTAGGATGCCGTGTGACTGTGCTAATGACCCAAATAGCACGTTGCATCTTTGGCAGCCGTCTGCATTTTTTCATGACTGTCTCGAATGAAAATTTACGTTTGGTTGTTGCATATGTATATTTCCGTAGCAATTTCCTATTAGAACACATTTATTGCATCAATGACATACATTTTATTGGAAAGAGCGCAATATACTTTTCTCTGTAATTTTTTGTATGGTTAGCTTGAGTGTTAAACAGGAGTTTCGGCATAAGAACGAAGGTATCAGGCTAGGACTTACGGTAGAAATTGCATGAACGAAAATTTCCTTTATTCGCCTTATGAAGTCACTGTATGCAGAACAATTTCGATGAAAAAATAATCATTCTTATTTGTTTAATTGCAATAAAACGAGTACGTCCCAAAGTGCGGAACTCGGCAAGTCCAGTACTAGTTGTAACATCTTCGAATGGCTTGTAGTCGAGAGTGTAGAACGTTTCTTCTTTTTTTCTTTGAACGAACATACGACAAAAACATGAGTATAATTACAGGGACAAAAACATTACAACATGAATTAAAAAAAACCCATACATGTACTATACTGTAAACACAGAAAAAGAGTTTATCATTTGGAAAGCATTTTGCACATAATAGGCGCATTGTACACGGTAAGCACACCAGCAAATGGTAATATAAACACAATAGCTCTGTTTGTTTGTTTGTTTGATTTTGTTTAACGTCCTATTAACAGCTAAGNCTGCCGAAGACACCCAGCAGGACGCCCCACCCGGTCACATTATACTGACAACGGGCGAACCAGTCGTCCCACTCCTAATTTGCTGAGCGTTAAGCAGTAGTATAAACTACCATTTTTAATGACTTTGGTATGTCTCGGCCAGGGGACAGAACCAAAAGCCTTCCTCACATGGGCGAACGCTCAACAAATGGCCAAAAGTGAGGCATTGTCAAGGGAGACATTAGGAAGAAGAAAGTTATTTAGAAAGGAGAGAAGAGATAAGGTCCCAAATTTAGTTGCCTCTTACGATCATGCAATTGGGGGCAGCAGGTACAATTATAGCATTTGCATACAGCACATAAAAACAAAACTAATCACATGGAAAGCTTATTAGCACGAAGTAGGCACATTTGCACACTGTAAGCACACGGTAAAGCACACGGTAAAGCACACTAGCACATGTCTGAGCACATCAGCATACTGTTAGCATACAAAATTACGCCATAACTACAAAAAGAGCAAATAATATTGAATTGTATTTAATTCGGAAACTGATTTAAATATTAAAGCTGCACTATTGGATTTTCTCAGTGACATATTCGATGGGTCACGGTAAGTAGTTAAGTAAGTTCCAGATATCAAACCTGAGACTGACTTATTGAAATTAAGATTGATAGACAGTTGAACATATATATATATATTAACAAAGAGCTACTCTGAGATCAAAGCCAATACATTTTACCGTTATGCTGCCCTGCGATCCTCCTAAATCAAAGCATTACTCTGAAATCTTAGGATTCCGCAACAGTTTCCAAACTAGTCAACTCCTATATCATAAATATACAATACAGCTTAATTGTGACTCAGCAAAGGACCTCAGGGATTTTATCTGTTTTACAAGATACAATAATCTATATTTTAAAGTATCATACACGCAAACAAGAAACGTACGCGCTTTAATATGAGCTATTATTGCGACAAACGTAAATTAAATGAAAAGGACATTAAAATATTCTTAATAAATATAGATCTAGTGTTGTGATGAAAATAAATTAAGAAAAAAAGTAAAATGGGATGCGATCACAAATAGGTAATATAAAGAATAATAAGTTACTCAAAAAGGTAAAAATTTAATAGTGAACAATTACTATTATGTCTCCAATATAACGACAATAGTATGTCCAAACTAGATTTGAATGTCTATTGAGCTTGGCGGTCAGGAATTCGTCTGCTATCAACCGGACTTATGGTGACAAGTAACGGCTACTCACACCTCTTTAATGGTAGGGACGTCGTTATCGTCACAAAATCAGCTAGTTTTTGTTCAAATATTTCAATCCCAGATTGAATAAGTAAGAATTGATTGATAATGTAGTGTTACATATAGCCATTGTACTGTATGTCCTGCGGTCACGATTGCGTCGTCTGCAATGCCATTTGATGAAACAGACTATAACTTTTTTAGCCGATGGTCAAATCGATTTATGTCCCCTTTCATAGGGAACCAATGAAAACACTTACGTGAATGGCGTCCATGGAGGCGGGCGCTTTGAGCTTTCTATCGTGTGTATCGATAATATCCAGACAGGTAAGGGCACTCACACAACTTTAAATAAGTGTCATACTCTATATTTTCATAATTTACGGTGTAGAAACTGGATCGAAATAACCGCCTCACTGAAAAATGGAAGGGTTATGTTTTGTTGTGAATCAAACAAGCATGTCTCAACCTGAAATTTGACAGATGCAGTAGATGCCATATTTATGCCTACCAGAAACTAACCTGAGTCATGTAACGTCACAGTAGACCACGGTATATCCATGATTGCTACCGGTGGTCTAAGTTGGGTCCATTTGGTCTAACTTACATGTGAACACACATGCCAAGAGCTGCACTATATAAAATAGGCACTATAGTCACCTAGGTTCGGTTTTAGATTTAAACTATCATTCGATCAGCACCCAACAATATGAGTATTGTAGCCCCCAGGATATATAGTTAAAGCAAGAAACCTTTACAAACACACAGCTATACACAGAGAAAAAAATACAGAGAACATCACCGACCTTGGCCAGTAACTCTTGACATGATTGACAGTTTGATATTAATTAGAGCTATAGTATCATCACGATCTTCAAAGTGTCGCTGGATGAAGGCAGGATGATTGAAAGCAGTGATAATACCCATCTTTGAAAGGGGACAAGCACGCAGGAGCAGCAACTTATAGTCCGGCGTCTGTAGCTACCATACATACAAGATCTTAGAGCACATCATACCAATATCAAAGCCAATTATAACAAAAGTAAATAAACTTGCCAACAAACAAAATGCATTTAGACCTATATAGATCTTCTGGGAAACAATTGATTAAAACAATACAAAGCAGGGAAAATCCGGGAACTTGAGAGCTGTGGGCCCTTTTTTAGCCCTTTTTAGTCAATAACAAAACTATTAAAGGGTTGTCATTCTATATAAAATTAACAGAAAATCTGAATATGAAGGGGTCAAGGGCCCAAGACCTGTGGACAGCCTATCAGATGGAGAGGGGTTTTGCCATACTTGATGATAAGGTCCAGCCACACAAGAAACTTGTGCAAAAGATGGAGTACTAAGGAGTCGGAAGGAAGAAGACACAATATTAGGTGGAGTTTAATCCAGACAAATGCACCACCATTCACATCATAACCCAGAAAAATACCATGATAACCAAATATAAAATCTGTGTCTAGACTCTACTGGACCAGCAGGAGTTACCATCAGCTGGGATTTACACTTAAACTCAAAAAATGCCAACATAACCAGGGCAAATCACTGGGATTCAAAACACAAACATTAATTACCAACATCGTCATAGCAAACGGATCACTGGGATTCAAAACACAAACATTAATTGCCAACATCGTCATAGCAAACGGATCACTGGGATTCAAAACACAAACATTGCCAACATCACCATGGCCAACGGATCACTGGGATTCATTTCAATATTAAAATGCTTTCAGATGGCTTTCATAGGCAATATGAATGCAAACTGGACAAAAACGAATTCACACTGAGTAGAGAATATTAAGGATGAAAAGTAGTATGCATGATCCCTTGGGTCATAGTTACACATGTGCCAATTTGAGATGGATTGAAAAAATAAAATGGCTTTCAGGCCATTGACTTGTTTTACTACTATTTCTCAGTCACAACACAAACATTTTCACATTCAAGAGTTCTGCTTTTACTGTAAGTCTTTAATAGACTAAGAATTGAATAATTTAAATATGTAACATGTACATTATTTTCAAATTTCAGACCTTGTAAGGGAACAAAATGTCCTTTGTTCGAGTGCGTAGAACCCATTCAGCTACAGGAATTCCTCGTAAGAAGAGACCAGTTCGAAGAAAACCTGTTTGGGATGTGAGTGTGCCTGTTATCGATAGTATATTGTGAATTATTGCAGTTAAGTCTTTAATTTGACTAAAAAAGTTACAAGAAATTACAAATATCTATGAAATTTCTCTGAACATAAATTTATGTATACTAGGTGCATGCATTTCAGTTTTCAATTTTTCAATACCGCGTAATTTGTTTTGGGTTCACTTTCAATTTTAAGAAAATGAAAGGTGATTTCATTATTATGCCATCACTAAATGTTTTTTTTTCAAAATGTTTATAGGACACTGTAAACGATTTAACAACACTGAAAGCAACACCAGATGAAATCGTAAGTTGGTCAAATTAATTATCAATTCTCCTTTTACAGGTTGAGGTACAATCAATTTACTGTAAAATACAGACGTAGGTGTAATATAAAATAAAATCTGTACAATATGTTGTTGTCCTGAAGGCAGAAATTTACGCTAGCACGTTAACCAGACAGGAATATAAATCAGAATGAGTTATACAATGTTTCAATTATTCACAAAATAAAAGGAAAAGGAAAAAGATTTCCTGAGTCTTTAAAAGAATACATATTGATGTTACCGTTTTGATTCTAATAATTGCCAAGACGATTATTTTAGCATAATAAAATGAAAGTAGAAGGTAGGCAATTATTGGAATCGATGATATCAATCACACATGAAGTTAAGAGGTGGGTGATAAGAACATGGGCTATTATTAGAACCAATACGGTAAGTGATAATTATATATTTCATTTTATTGCACCGTACATATTCTGAATGTAAGCAAGTATTTTTCGTCTCTTTTCTTTTTTAGGTATATAGAAAAGTGTCTCACCAGTCAAAATATGCCCTGGCTACACGACTGCAAACACAGAAAGACCTACAACAGAAAAGTGTGTACAGTAAATAATTACACAAGTTACAATGGATTGGTGAATACGGTATACTGAAATATAAGGATTTACATTATGATGAAAATACTGTAGTAAGATTCACCATGTCAGATGATGTTAAGTGATTTAACTGCCTACTAGTCTCTAGATAGTGGGTCATATATATACATAACTGAAAACTTAGTATTGATGAATGACGATGAACTTGTAATCCCTTCTGATGACATCCAAGATGAGTAATAGGGTAGTTAAATTTGGTATCATCTTACTGTTTTAAATGATTTTAATTCATCACATTAGAGCTATTGAATTATTTTCTATGGAGGATATTCTGAAATGAATCATTGAATGTTTTCATCTTTTAAAGTTGATTTTCACATTCTAGCTCTAAATTGTCCATTAAAATGATGTTTGTGATTCTATTTCTTTTTCAGAGAAGAAGGCAGCAGATCTGAGCATTTCAAATGCAGAAGCCAGACAACTTGCCATTATGAAGGAGGTTCTGTATGACCAACAACAGGTAATTCATTGCAGGGATTAGCTGTATGTCTGGAATACAATGAGACATGGCTTGATAAGTACACGTAGAAATGGGACAATAAATGCTCTTATAAAGTTGTACCTGTAATGATATTAGAAAACTCTCAAAATATTATAAGGGAATACTTTTGCCATGTAGTTAAAGTCATCTGACATGTAAGACAGGGGCTGTGGGATTGGTACCTGGTGTTGATGTCCAGAACCTAGTGTTTTCCTTTACGCTGCAATGGAACTCTATGTGTGGTGTTTTGATTTACAGTGATGATGTAATGCCCTTCATTTCATTTGCCACCTCTCATAATTCCAGCATATTTCAATGTCCTTCTTTTTCTAAAAAATATTCTTAATATATCTCCAATGAACTTTGAGATATTTTCCTGGACTGACAACTGAGATAAAAGGAAGATTTTGTGTAACCAAAGACTGTTATGCTGTACACATAGAGACATAACATATAGAGACCATAACAAATAGTGACATTACCTACAGAGACATAACAAATAGTGACATTACCTACAGAGACATAACAAATAGTGACATTACCTACAGAGACATAACATAGAGACATAATAAATGGTGATATTAGATAGAGGCATAAAATACAGAGACATACAGACATAACATAGAGACATAACAAATAGTGACATTACCTACAGAGACATAACAAATAGTGACATTACCTACAGAGACATAACATAGAGACTTAACAAATAGTGACATTACCTACAGAGACATAACATAGAGATATAACAAATAGTGATATTACCTACAGAGATAAAACATATAGTGACATTACCTACAGAGATATAATATAGAGACATAACAAATAGTGATATTACCTACAGAGGCATAATATAGACACATAACAAATAGTGACATTACCTACAGAGATGTAGTATAGAGACATAACATATAGTGACATTACCTACAGAGACAACAAATAGTGACATTACCTACAGAGACCTAATGTACTGACCCAAGCGGAGACATAACATACAGAGGCATAATATACAGACATAACAAATAGAGACAACATATACAGACATAAGGTATACAGAGGCATATTAAATAGAAGCATAACAAACTGGTTCCATTAAAATACTTTAAAGCAGACACTTGAAGAGAGATGTCAGCATAACTAGGAATACTTTTCTGATCCGTTCCAGTTGATTTATGGCCTTAAACTAATAGGTTTAATGCAACGTTTTACCTTTTATTTGAAATTATGTCCACAAATTAAGCTTCATGATATCATATTTGTGATTCCAGTTTCAAAATGCGATATCAAAGTCAGATAAGATGATGGCGTCAGTGAAGGACATGTTTGGTGATGACCCTAGGGTTTGTATAATATAGTCATTGGTTGATCACCTTTGGCTCTAGTCTTTGTCCAAATAATGATAAAAATGATTGCAAGATGATGATCATTTTCACTAAATTTGCAAACATATGTATGCTAAATACGTTTATGTATCCGTGTGTAAATTAGATGTCGAGCATTTATGCCTAGTGAGATACAACCTTTTGGCACATACATGTTTGGTTCAAGTATGCAGTCACATGTATGAGCAGGATGATGTTTGTCATAATGAAAAGTCAATTTTAAAACATGCAATATCCAAATAATCGCCTCATTAAAATCAGTCTCATATCAAATCTGTTTGATGAGATTAGAAATGCAGGATGCAAGCATTTTGAAATATTTTCAAATACTTTCAGAGATTTGCTGGTTTTCCCAATGTCACTGCGGCCCCAGACCCTGATGGTGTCGACAGGTTTGTAATGATTCTTTTCTAACTAATTCTTTTGTGAAGAACAGTGGCAGCTTCCTATAGGTATTTCTCCAACTGCTCAACATTTTATTTTGCATACAAACATACCAGTATTACTAAATTTGACACAGCATTTTCAACAAGGTCCGTCACTGTATAGACAAGACGTGAACAATTTTTTTTGCAACACTCTGCTAAGAGCTTTGTCAAAAGTGGCTCGAGATGCTGGTGAGTCGAACCCCTGCCTTCCAGCACTCTGAGGTTAAAACACAACCAATCTCTCTAAGCCTTATAATTTGGTGACAGGCAGTGACAAAAGACTAATTACAAGTCTTAATTTCAAAACATATACTGTAAATGTTTTATCGTCTTTAAAAATAAATGGATAAAATATTTCAAATACGCTGCTTGTCAAAAACATGTCAATACAGTATTAAAAGCACATAAGTATGGTTTCAACTGCCTGCCTGTCATCTTTTAGAAATAGTACGGTTTTTTTTAATCGAAAGTTTCAAGATTGAAAAAGTGAACCTCCTCAGTTGCAGTTCAAAATTGTACATCATTGACATGTTTTAGTAAGAGCCATTATCTAGGTGTTAATGTTTAAACTACAGGACATTTCATCATGTACATTGTATTTCATATATTTCCAATTTCCCTTAAACATCATTGTCATTTTTCAATCAAAAAGCACATCATCGTGATATGTTGTTGAAATAACAATTAGTGTTTAATAATAATAACAATAAAACAAAATAAGTGTTACACCCGACTATCAAGCTTGTCTGGATCAACCTGTATCATGTGTCTTTATCTTGGATTACACTATGCATTACAACATTTTTGTACCGACACGTTTTGTTTTCGTGCAAATGTGACTTTAGTTTTAACCCAATAGGATCAGATTGCCAAACTAAACAGACTAGTGAAATTAGTGAATTTTTTTCTCCATAAAACACATTTTGAAAAAAGGTGTGCTGACAAAGAATTGCCTTTGAACATTTTTGTTTAACTATGTAAATATAAGGGCATATAAATATCCTTTATTATCATTATGGGCAGTGACAGTCATATAAAAATAAATGAGAAACAACACTATACGATGTTTGAATTTTTCACTGTTTACCAGTGTATACATATATACGTTTGTGTGTTCTAGAAACACAGAAGCACCTAGTTGTACAAAAATATCCCTTTCTTTTGAGGTACAGATCATACCATCCTTTGATAACGTCTTATTAGCAATCCTCACAACCTGGTGTTTTCCATGGCCTTTGGCCCCTTGATTTGATAAATATGATTTAATATAAGACACTAAATCACTTGTGTACTCTTTATGTTTGACAGGACAGCTAGCCTTTACGCAGATCACCCTGATATCAAAACACGCATGGAGGCCCTTAGTCGGTCACTAATGGATGGTTCAGCACTCAATGACTTTGAGACTGACTCAGGTGTGGGATACATTCTGAATTTCATCATGCTTATAAGTTGGCATTTAAAAAAAAAAAAAATGGATAAATCATCCCCTCCCCTTGAGTAAAAAAGAAAGAAAAACAGACATAGGTTAATATCAATTATAAAAGACTAATATATAATTAAATTTACATCAGAAGTAAGCAATAGTTACGAAAACTTTGAAATGCTAGAAAATTTATAAAACTGACTTGTTTCTGTTGAAATTTTAGTGTTGTAATTTCTTTGTTATAGTTGAATAGCTTATTAGAATGATGACTTGTAGATACAGAACATTGTGCTGGCATTGGAGTCATTGTATTAACAGTTTCCTATATATTTCCTCCTAGATGATGAAGCAGTTGCTCCTGAGCCGATTTCTTACCAACCTCAAATGAATATGGAGCGGTTTGAGAAGTTCCTGGCCCACGAGGAGAAGAACAATACTCTCAGCACTATCAGTGGTCAGGCCCAGATTAGTCAGCTGGCCCAGGGTCCTATACAGAGTACACAGATTCAGGACACGACCAGTCTACAGACCTCCTTAGGTAATGTCAGTCTCACACCTCAGTAGGTAATGGATGTCAGTCTCACACCTCAGTAGGTAATGGATGTCAGTCCCACACCTCAGTAGGTAATGGATGTCAGCCTCACACCTCAGTAGGTAATGGATGTGTCAGTCTCACATCTCTATAGGTTACAGTCTCACGCCTCAGTAGGTAATGGATGTCAGTCTCACAACTCTATAGGTAACAGTCTCACACCTCAGTAGGTAATGGATGTCAGTCTCACTCCTCAGTAGGTAATGGATGTCAGTCTCACACATCATTAGGTAATGGATGTCAGTCTCACAACTCTATACGTTACAGTCTCACACCTCAGTAGGTATGTGTGACAGTCTCACACCTCTATAGGTTACAATCTCACACCTCAGTAGGTAATGGATGAGGCAGTCTCACACCTCTATAGGTTACAGTCTCACACCTCAGTAGGTATGTGTGGCAGTCTCACACCTCTATAGGTTACATTCTCACACCTCAGTAGGTAATGTGTGGCAGTCTCACACCTCTATAGGTTACAGTCTCACACTTCAGTAGTTAATGGATGTCAGTCTCACAACTCTATAGGTTACAGTCTCACACTTCAGTAGTTAATGTATGTCAGTCTCACACCTCTATAGGTTACAGTTTCACACCTCAGTAGGTAATGAATGTCAGTCTCACAACTCTATAGGTTACAGTCTCACACCTCAGTAGGTAATGGATGAGGCAGTCTCACACCTCTATAGGTTACAGTCTCACACCTCAGGAGGTAATGAATGTCAGTCTCACACCTCTATAGGTTACAGTCTCACACTTCAGTAGTTAATGGATGTCAGTCTCACACCTCTATAGGTTACAGTCTCACATCTCAGTAGGTAATGTGTGGCAGTCTCACACCTCTATAGGTTACAGTCTCACACCTCAGTAGGTAATGTGTGGTGGTCTCACACCTCTATAGGTAATGAATGTCAGTCTCACACCTCTATAGGTTAGTCTCACACCTCAGTAGATAATGTGTGGCAGTCTCACACCTCTATAGGTTAGTGTCACACCTCAGTAGATAATGTGTGGCAGTCTCACACCTCTATAGGTAATGAATGTCAGTCTCACACCTCTATAGGTAATGGATGTCAGTCTCACACCTCTATAGGTTACAGTCTAACACCTCAGTAGGTAATGTGTGGCAGTCTCACACCTCAGTAGGTAATGAATGTCAGTCTCACACCTCTATAGGTAATGAATGTCAGTCTCACACATCTATAGGTAATGGATGTCAGTCTCACACCTCTATAGGTTACAGTCTCACACCTCAGTAGGTAATGAATGTCAGTCTCACACCTCTATAGGTAATGAATGTCAGTCTCACACCTCTATAGTTAATGAATGTCAGTCTCACACATCTATAGGTAATGAATGTCAGTCTCACACCTCTATAGGTGACAGTCTCACACCTCAGTAGGTAATGTGTGGCAGTGTCACACCTCTATAGGTAATGAATGTCAGTCTCACACCTCTATAGGTAATGAATGACAGTCTCACACCTCCATAGGGAATGAATGTCAAGTCTCACACCTTCATAGGTAATGAATGTCAGTCTCACACCTCTATCAGTTACAGTCTCATACTTCAGTAGGTAATGTGTGACAGTCTCACACCTCTAAAGGTAATGTGTTGCAGCCTCACACATCTATAGGTTATGTGTTGTAGTCTCACACCTCCATAGGTTATTTGTGACAGTCTCACACCTCCATAGGGAATGAATGCCAAGTCTCACACCTTCATAGGTAATGTGTGACAGTCTCACATCTCTATAGGTAATGTGTTGCAGTCTAACACATCTATAGGTTATGTGTTGCAGTCTCACACCTCCATAGGTAATATGTGGAAGCCTACACACTTCAGTAGGTATTGTGTGACAGTCTCACACCTCAGAAGGTAATGTGTGGCAGTCTCACATCTCCATAGGTAATGTGTGGAAGCCTACACACTTCAGTAGGTATTGTGTGACATTCTCACACCTCAGAAGGTAATATGTGGCAGTCTCACATCTTCATAGGTTATGTTTTGTAGTCTCACACCTCCATAGGTTATTTGTGACAGTCTCACACCTCCATAGGTTATTTGTGACAGTCTCACACCTCCATAGGTAATGTGTGACAGTCTCACACCTCCACAGGTTATGTGTTGCAGTCTCACACCTCCATAGGTAACGTGTGGAAGCCTACACACTTCAGTAGGTATTGTGTGAAAGTCTCACACCTCAGAAGGTAATGTGTGGCAGTCTCACACCTCCATAGGTAATGTGTGACAGTCTCACATCTCAATAGGTAATGTGTGGCAGTCTCACACATCTATAGGTTATTTGTTGCAGTCTCACACCTCCATAGGTAACATGTGGAAGCCTGCACATCTCCATAGGTAATGTGAACCACCCTACACATCTCCATACTTAACATGTGGCAGCCTACACACCTCCATAGGTAACGTGTGGCAGCCTACACATCTCCTTAGGTAACGTGTGGCAGTCTCACACCTCTATAGGTAACGTGTGGAAGCCTACACACCTCCATAGGTAACGTGTGGAAGCCTACACACCTCCATAAGTTATATGTGGAAGCCTACACACCTCCATAGGTTATATGTGGAAGCCTACACACCTCCGTAGGTAATGTGTGGAAGCCTACACACCTCCGTAGGTAATGTGTGGAAGCCTGCACACCTCCATAGGTAATGTGCAGAAGCCTACACACCTCCATAGGTAATGTGTGGAAGCCTACACACCTCCGTAGGTAATGTGTGGAAGCCTACCCACCTCCATAGGTAACGTGTGGAAGCCTACACACCTCCGTAGGTAACGTGGGGAAGCCTACACTCCTCCATAGGTAACGTGTGGAAGCCTACACACCTCCATAGGTAAAGTGTGGAAGACTACACACCTCCGTAGGTAATGTGTGGAAGCCTACCCACCTCCGTAGGTAATGTGTGGAAGCCTGCACACCTCCATAGGTAATTTGCAGAAGCCTACACACCTCCATAGGTAATGTGTGGAAGCCTCCACACCTCCATAGGTAACGTGTGGAAGCCTACACCCCTCCATAGGTAACGTGTGGAAGCCTACACACCTCCATAGGTAAAGTGTGGAAGACTACACACCTCCGTAGGTAATGTGTGGAAGCCTACACACCTCCATAGGTTATATGTGGAAACCTGCACACCTCCATAGGTAACGTGTGGAAGCATACACACCTCCATAGGTAATATGTGGAAGCCTGCACACCTCCATTAGTAATATGTTGAAGTCTAACACCTCCATAGGTTATGTGTAGCAATGTCAAACCTACATAGGCTATGTTTGGAAGTCTCACAGGGCCATAGCTAGTGTGTGGAAGTCTCATGAAAAAACATTTATCTTGTGTAGATTTTCATATGTCCTAGCTAATCCACCTTAATGAAATTTTAAACAAAATTAGGTCTGTTCTTATTTCAGGAAGTGCATGTGAAACCCCAAAAAGGAACCCGAATGAGTCTGTTTCAATTCTGAAAACCCCAAGGTCTGCAATCAATGATACAAAAAAGATCAAGAGAACAAGAAAAAGAGTGACTCCTGCTAAATCTCCACAACACAACAACACGTCAGCTTTCAACCTGACAGATCTACGCAAGGTAACAGCTAACATATGGAATGAACGTGTTATAATTGCTGAAAAATATTTCTGATTGAACTGCTTTTCTGGTTAAACTGCCTCTCTACACTGTAGCAAACACATGTGGTAGTCATTTTCAGTTGGTATTACACAACTGCTGATTTTGAGGGTAAGCTTTAGTTTGCTAAATGCCTGCTTTGATGTTGATTATCAGGTGTTGGAGAATCTCCAGGATGAAATTGCCGGGTTTGAGAAACAGACAGGACATCGTGCTCCAGCCGAAAAACACCGACAGGAAACCTTCTCTGGATACACACTGTCACTCGTTGACTCTGTTACCAAACTCAGTCGATATCTCAAAGAGGTAGGTAGCTGTCTTTCACCAAAGTAGGTCAATTTCTCAAAAATGTGGTTGTCCTGTTGCTCTTGGCCCTAAATGACCTACTTTGTTGACAGCCATAAAATAATGCAAAAACAAATCTTGTCTCTCACAAAAGTTAGAAGTGGGAGAGCCATTATATCAAAGAGGTGGCTGTCTGTCACGCTTTCATAACAATACTGATAGAGATAAAACCATTACACAGTTAGTGAATTAAAAGTATTCTATCTGCTTTGCAAAAGATAATTTTTATGAAATACAGCATAACTTGTCTAAATTGTTTTATCTGTAAAATTTCTTTAAACAAGATGTTCAACTTTGTCTTACTGTTGACGTTTCTATGAAAAGTAAAACTAATTTATCCAAAAACGGTGAACGTGGTAACCAGAACGATTGAATATTTATTCCTGTTGAATTTTACTATGACATGTTTCACTGCACTGAAATATGCTGGTATAATTGTAATATTAAGAAAGGTCTCACTGTACTTTTAAGACAGGTTTCATCGCATGATTTAGACAGGCTTCACTGTACTGTTAGTGTTAAGACAACTTGCACTGTACTGATCAGACATGTTACATTGTATTGATAACTCAAGTCTGATTAATTTCTCAAAACACTGCATGTATCCTCAATTACATGTTAACATGGTCTGTTATTGCACTCTTTACATTAGACTTTATATGTCAAATTCTCGGATGTGAAGTTTCTCTTGGAAAGCTTAAGTGGGTCATCTTTAATGTTAAATCTGTGTCTTACCTTACACAGAACGATCTGCGTCTGAAGGCAGAAACAATAGTGAGGGAGCAGCTGATGCAGGATGTGTCCCAGTTAGCAGCGTTGATAGATGCTCTCACATCGGTAAGCGTTGGAGAAACACCCAAGAAAAGATATTTTTAGTCTCTGTAAAACTCAATATTTCTCACAAATCTTTGACAGCTAGTTAAATATCAAGTTTCTTTGTTTTTCAACTATAAAGAAGAAAGCTTTATCAACTGAAATTAAACACTCTTGCTGTGCAAGATGGTAGCCCATGTGATCAGACATCTGGGAATTTCACTGGGCTGTCTTGGTAAAAGCTATCACCTGGGCCACCGGACCACCCAGCTAGTTATATTGTAGTAAGGGTAGAATAGAAATAGTGTAAATCATTTGTTTTTTGGTATGACTGCTTCATAGCATTTGGTTGCTCTATCTTACCGGGTATACAGAGAAAAAAATCAAAAGAACTTAGTGGAACTCATCTTCTTGATTATAACTGATGCAATGGTGGTACTCTTTACCTTAAAGAAATCTGTATGGAATTGCTTCAAAATGAAATGATTTTCCTTTTTCATGTAATGCATTTTTCCTTACATGTATCTTCTTTTTTGCAGGATATCATTCTAACTCAAGATGAATCAGCAAAGTTGAAAAATGAATTTAGCAAGTATAAGCTGGAAACACAAAGTGAAATACAACACCTCAAGGTATTGAAGACAAAAATGATTTTAATGAGATTTTATGATGTTAAATTGAACAAGAAGAATTGGGAATAAGAAAGGGGGTACAGCAGATGTTAATTTACAAAATAAAAATGGAGAATACTGTGTTTCATATTTTCAATAACAAGAAACCCAAATGTATAAGTGACTGCTAGAGGGAATAGCATTGCACTGCCAGGTCCTATAGTCTGTGTTGTCCATTTTATAAAACATTGGTTTTGATTGTAGACTGTGCTACGCAAGGCTGGTCTGATGGAGGAGGAAGCTGTTTTAAGAACACCCCCAAGAGGAGTAGCCCCTCCCCAGCCATCTATTATAGGTAGGGCGTGGTCACTCAGACACTCTGTGTATGCACATTCTTCTGTGTTTGCTCCTGTACTTTTACATTTTGAGCAATTCCGTATCAAACTCATTGTTTTGCACAGTTCTGCAATAACAGTTTCTATGATTTCTCTTTTCATTCTCTCAAAATATAGTTGTAAAACTTTACATCAAGTGGAACTTTGTCAATTTGCAGTGTTTTTACGTGTGCGATTCTAAAAACAGTTTTCATTTGCTCATCACATTCATTTAAATTATGAATCAAGATTGTTTGTCAGAGTAGTATTTTAAACCCTGTATAATACAATGTGAACACAGATTCTGATGAGGATGCCAAACAGCCACAGGAGCTATCAGCTATTCCCAATCACGTTCAGTCAGCTTCAGCAGCTGTTCTGTTATCACCACCAGTCAGGAAGTCTTACCTACAGAAGGATGAGGAACCAGCAGATACCCAGCCTCACTCAGGTGCTTTAAACACTTTATTTAGGATGGTGAAGGTTCTGATCGTTACATGACTAACTGATATGAATTTATGAATCATAACGTTTTCCATATGAATTTTGAATCTCATCCACTTCATTTTCATTATTTTTAACATAAACAACATGTTTTTTCTCTAACCAGTACATTTTGTTTTGAACTTTTGAACTTTTTTTTTGTAGGTTGTTTGTATTGTATATTTAAAAGCATGAACTGAATTTATAGAGAGTTTTGATGTTTGAAATGAACAATTTTTTCAATAAAAGTTATTGTCCAATTTTTAAACAGGAAAAAGTTCACTAGAAATTATTTTGAAAAATGCATATATTTCTTTTGTTCTGTAAACTATCGATTATTAATTTCCAAATATTTCAGCTCACGCTGGAGCTTAAAATCAGAATAAATCACTTTTGTTGCATTTTCATTGAAGTGTTATTTTCAAGGATTTTTAGTGCATTGCATATTTAAGCTATTGAATCTTCTCTTTGGAGACGCAATAAACTGATAGGGTTCAATAGCTGTAAGCAGAGGATTCCTAACTCATCTTTACCAATTGTATTTGCAGTTGGACAGCCAGTGCCTGTAAACCTTCCTGACTACAACTCGAGTTTCCCTGTAGGTGGTCCAAAATTTATGCATGGACCAGTCAGTAGTGACCCCAGTCGGGCCAGTTCTGTGAATAGTCAGAGTCACTCTGAGCCTAACCAGCTATCAAATGGTCCGGGCCTTCAACCCACATCTGGTGTCAGTGTTACCACATCGACAATGCCTTATAGTGTACACCAGGTGAACTCTGGTCCCAGCCAGGCCCAGTCTGATCCCATGGGTCCTCAGCAGTTTCAGGGGGCGCCATGGTATCCACAATCACAATTCTTACAGAGCCTTCCCCCTGGGAATCCCCCACAATCTATGGCATCCAGCCAAAAGCAGTCATTGACTGGCAGCTCAAAACAAGGTTACAGCATTGCACATCCCTTAGCCTCATACCCTGGAAGACAAGGCCCACCCAGCATGCAGGGTCAACCAAACTTTGCCAACAATGCTGCGAGGGTTGCCGTTCCACGTCCCAGTCCCCTGGTTCAGAGCAATGTGGAAGTGTCCTTCCATGACAGTGGCAGGCCATCAGTACAGGTACCAGAACACTCAGCCATACGGCCAGGGTTGGCACAATCAATGGGAGGTCAGCCAGGCATGTTATATCCAGCGGGAGGCCAGTTTTCTCAGAGTGGAGGTATAGGTGGGTCAGGCCTGTATCAAAGTGTGTCCCAAGGTGGACGCCTTGAAGGTTCAGGCCAGGATAAAGGACAACTTGCCCACACCAGCGGGCTGCCGGCCCCACCCTCCTACAACAGCAAGGATATACTGGCTGCTCAGATCCTCGAGCTGAACAAGCAGCACGAGGAAGCTCAGGTACGCCTGCAAGTGTTGATGCAGCAGCAGCAGAACCAGCACCATGAACACCTAGACCAGCATCATATATTACAGGAGACGGACAGCGAGCTACGTGCTGCCATAGTTCTCGGGCAACGCCAGCCACAACAGGTAGATATACAATGTACTGGTTTGTTACATAAAAACTCATAAATGATATAGGTCTGAGTTCAATAACCATTTATGTCGCTTGGTAATAATTGTTGATTATTGGTGTTAACCATTTGAAGATGAACATAATATTCCAGAGATGCAATCTCAAGTACGCTTCTTGGGGTCAAGATTTATACTGCTAGGGTATTGTAAGCTGAAGCAGAAAATTATTTTCATCACTTTCAATTTGTTTGTAATTTAATTTCAGCATGGTCTTCCTTCCCATCCTGTTTCTCCTCCAATTTCTCCGATCTCTCAGAAGTCTGACAAATACCTCGGCCTCCAGGGCTTGACACAACAGGTACCAGTATGCTTTCTTATTCCTATTTTAACTCTTTCACCACTGTAGACCATAATATGGACTCATCCAGATCAATGCATGGAAGAGACTACTAAAGTTACATAGGGTTGAAAGGGTTTAAGTCTAAAATAAATAGAATTGAAAATATACTATCATTTCCAACAAACTCTCAAGCTGAACATGATAAATTAGCATCTGTATTGCTTTAATAAGATTTTTCAGAACTTCTTTTTTACCTCACAGAAAAAAAAATCCTAAACATAACAAGGTTCTTTTTCATTATTTTGTCTTCGCAATAGGATGAATTTCAACTTGGATGAATATTATGAGAATTTGTGTACTTACAATGAAAGGACAAAGCTATTTTGACCATGTTTTGACTCCACTTACACCTGGATATATAGTTGAACATATACAATTGAAGGTCATTTTACATTGTGGTACCTTACTGTTTCAGAACAACCTTGGTCCAACTTCTTCTAGAGGTATCACAGTATCTATTCCCAGCATGAGTTTGGACTCGACTATTGAGAGCAGCCCGTCCCCAAAGAGAGCATAAAAGTGTGTAGGGCACCGACTGTTGGGATCCTGTGTACACTAGAGAATATACAGTTAAAATGCATCAGGATTGACTTGGAAGCTCATTTCTCAATGTGTGAATGGACTTTACTGGGACTGTGATATCTCTGAAATATTTATTTATTTTGCATATTTCAACATAGCTAGGATAATGATTAGCAAATCTTGATGTACTTGAAGTTGAGGATTCCTAGGACTACATATACAAACATTCACATGCCTTAAAAAGTCAGGGTTCTTTGTTATTTGAGTGTTTTCATGTCTGTTTATTTCAGGTTTCAGTTGTATGTAGGAGTAAACCGTTCCAACAAAATAAATGTTCTTAATTTTGCTGATAATAGGTATAAAATAACAATATTTTGATTGTTTATGTAAGAATGCATGTAAAATCCATCATCTCATTGTAGTTTGGGATAATTCTAGTTTTCACTTTTACTGACGAAAAAATGTGGGAACAATTTTGGGTACTGTGATGTTATATATATTTTAAAATTCATTTACATGTACATTTTTGTTCTAAATGTTTGAGTATTTCAAAGGTTGAATAGTGCTTACCAGCTGGTGTGCTATAAGATAATTTATTATAGTACCAGGTACTTGAAATATGTATTTTCAAGGTATCTATTTTTGCATTATGACTTGAACGGTAATTATATAAGCAGCCGATCGTGACTTAAACTATCTTGCACAAATACGGAAAATGTTATCTCTGTGCTAAACATACGATTTAAAGCATTTTGAAGCACTTGATTTATAGAACTGCCAAATGTAAATGTAATCCTTAACTTTCCACTTAGAATTTTAGAGGATAGCATATAGCAGTATATCTCTAATTAAAGGGCATGCCATATCTGTATCGATTTTTAGTTATTTCAAAGTGTATTGCATTATTAAATTATTCACTATAGTGACTTTCCTTACCAATAAAGATATCTCATGTATGACTCACACCACTGCAAACTTCAGTAATGTATATAATTAGTTTCATAAAAGATGATGTACAACATGAAATGTTTGTTTATAAATACATATGTGGTTACTATGTACCCACAAGGAATACATGACAGTGAATTTAGTTTACTTTACTATAATATACATACTTGTTTTATATTGGGAATTCAGGGTTATTTGTACCATGAAACAATCTACATAGCCTCAAACCACTGGAGATAGTACCCACAAACATTTCATGTTATACAGTATCTCCCAAATATGATTTACATAGCAAAGTAATTTTTGTTGATGAATTGAACGATTGCCAAATTGAATGTAATTACCTATAGTCTAGATTTATTGTTAATCTCCTGTCTTGTGCTAATCTTGGACACATCTTGGGTTACATGATCAGTACAGGTATACTGTCCATTCCTATTGTTTATTAATTTGTTACAAACCTGGATAATTCTAATGTAGTGAGTAAAATCATTTGAAACTGACATTTGTGTTTGTTATTATATATATTCCCATTTTCGTTTAAATGTACCAAGAAGTTTTTGCCAATGTCTTATAATCTTCCTATGAGTTTAACTCAACTGGCACAAATAACCAGATGTGAAGGTGCAACATTTGTCCTCAAATTCTATTTTTTTATTGTAGGTAGTCGGAAGGTTATTTATCATGTAAATTTACTTCATCTACTTTCAAGGTCAAGAAATGTTCATTTATTCCTTTGTTGTGCATATTAAATTAAGGACTTCTAGCAAGAACTAGATGGCTACAAGGCGAAATGACAAAATGGATGCAAAATTTCATAAACTCTGTTTATTCAGCTATCTTATCAATGGCTATTTAAACCTGTTGTCAAAGGGGGTTGAATGCAACAGCCAAATAACATTGGTCAATTGTGCCGTGATGGAAACCTATCATTGGAGCTATTTCATGCACGTTCATTGGATACTGTTTTTAGTACAGCTATTTCATACAATTCAAGGAAAACAGTTGATTATTTGATATCTTGAGCAACATTTGGATATATTTCTAACCTATCCACCCCTAAGTATGCATATACTAAATCCTTCTGATGCATTCTTGTTTCTTTTTTTTAGCAAGATATTTAAATGCCTAGAAATGAGATCAGAGAGGCCATTAAATAAAACACAACTAGGGTAATTTGCCCATGTTCTCCGGTGGCGTTATTATGTCTCCCAAACAATATGGCATCATATACATTTTTCTCACAATCATTGTTTAGAGAATATGTAACTTGACCTCTGTGACCTTGACCATGCATTGACAACTAATGTCCAAATGGAAGTTGTGTGATGACAGTAAAGCAGAATACCAATTTTACAAAAGGCCTTTCATGTCCCCCGACAGAAAGATTGGAACAAGTGCCTTTACTGAATTTTATTGAAAATATGTAATGTAATATTTCTAGTACACAAATCCGTTTTTGTCGGCATCATGCAAAAGTGCAACATTCCAAAGCATTTAATTTAAGGAAGAGGGTCCAACGGCATCATTTATAATCGCAAAGAAGAGTGCAACTTTAGGAGTTTTCCTGGCTTACAGTAAGTTCCTGTCAAGCTTTTCATATGCTTTGCGACCCATAAATTGGACCCACATTTTAATCTTGTGCTTGTATAAATCCTATGTGGCAACATTTGTGAAGTAATGCAGCACTTTCAAATATTGAACAGCTATAATTCTGTAAAATACATGTCAACACGTAAATTTTATGGAATATTCCTTTTGAAAGCGACTTGGAATAATGATTTCACAATAGTGACAGTGGTAATACTGTTTGACTTGTTGGTACCCGTTACCTTAATAAAAGCTCCAGTGATCAATACAGAGATCTCTTGTACCTCCTGTTGATTCTATAATGAAAGGACTTCCAAGAACACAAAACACTGATAACATCCTTTTTAGTCTTGTATTTGTTACAAAATCAGACTTTATTTCAACATCAAATGAGAATAGGTTGTTTGTTAAAGACTGGTGAGCACTATTTTGCCTTTGTTAAAACACAAAGAATTAATATTTTCTCACAGGACATCAAGCATAAGATATAAATAATGAAGTGTACTGAATCAGTGTCCAATTACAAATCAACTGGAGTTCTCTTACAAAGTGAAAGTGTTTAATTGTTGGAAACCATCCTGAACAGCCACGACTGATAAATCTATGGTAAATCAAGTGGATTTTGAATTGCAAGTCAAAAAATCATTTGTGCCATCCAAAACATCGGGTTTTTTATCTTATATACCTATATATTTATTTTTTTGGAGAATCATCTAGATGCCTGTGAAAGTGTAACCTGGGATTTATGATTTTTATTTAGTAGTATGATCTTCACAAAACACTTGATTTACAACAGATACCCTGACCACACTAAATTTAATAAAGAATATACCTCGTACATCTCTGCTTAGATAGTCAGTACCCACCTCTTATGCTTCCAATGCTCAATATGTTTGTGGCAAGGTACTAAGTAATATCAAACTTTCCTTGCTAGCCTACAACTGTATTATTTACATGTAGACAGGTGCTTACACCACTTACATATTGAGTAACATATTGACAAGAATGCCCAGTGTAATTAACTGGTACTCGTTTCCATGTTTTCTCGCGTCAATTTCTGGTCATAGTAAAGATATGATTTTTTCTAAATATATTTTTATTAACGACAAATGCAAATGAAGTCTTTGAAGAGGCAATTTTGTTTTCTCTCTCATAAATCATTTCCATACAGAATATTTAATTACGCACATATATACTGAGTAATATTTGTGATATTTTACCAGATTCATATCAATATATACCTGGCATTTATCCATTTTTAAACAAATTGCATAACAATCTTTTTCAGAAATATCAATTGACCTGGTGATGTGTTTAGGTCTACTGATCAAAAAATATGTAACCTGTCACTTCTTAAGTCCATTCTGCACTGAAGTTTTTATATTTGTTGTACATGATTGAAGTGAAACAACTCCAACTACTTCCATGATTTAAAGAACACGTGGAAGAAACCATCAAAGTATCTAAAGATTTTGTACACACAATGTATCTAGGAAAATGATGAACTGTAGCAATGTCTGAAATGTCTCAATATGTGTTGCTTTTTTTCTGCTGCTTTCGATGTAAAAGTAGTTTTCATATTTAGTATTGTATTCCCCCCCCCCCCCCCACTCCCAAATTAATCAGGCCATGCTTTTCATGCATATTTTTAAGATGTCCTTGCGTAAATATTGATACATTACAGCTGATGATGTTTATACTAATAGGGTGTTGCAAACTTCTACACTGTACATACATACAATGAATATAATTATGGACATTTAAAAGAAAAAAAATGTACCGTTCAGCCCTGCAATAATTGAAGAAATGTCCTTAATCTTTTGATATCTTTTTGTTCTCATTGGTTGTCAGTTTTCTGTCATAAATTCATTGGAAAGTTTAAGCATAACATGAATGTAATGAGAATGTAATGATATAAATAAAATAAAAAAATCCAGTCATTTTGCAGTCCTCCGTTTTTGTTGTTGTTGACATTTCTTTGGAAAAAAGCAGCAGAACTGGTCCTTTTAACAAATATCTATATTATATCGACTTTATTAGTACATCTACCAAGGGAACTACATATGTACACACCTCAGCATATCAAACAAGGGTTGAAAACAGTACTTGTTTCTATGCATAATCCAGCAAGTTAAGGCAAGGCACACACCCACCAGTTCAATCCTTGGCTTTATATTGAAATGGCCTACATAATTTGATACAGATTCTTGTAAAACCAAGAGTGTTTGATAATCTAAACAGGAATGAGAATGACTCCATTATATAGAGGCTTCATCTCTCCTTCATGTTGTTGAATACTTCAATAGTATATCTTATCTTTGCACAACTTGTATACATAATGTACATATGATAATAAGTTCTACAAGCTGTTATGCATAAATAGGGATAAAATCATCGACAGGAGATGGGTGGATCTCCGACACTTCAAACTGCCATAGAAGGGACAACTTTATAGAGATCAAGAACTGTTCTGTTCAGAAACTCCGGCTTCCCAAATGATACATGGAAAAGAATATTTTCATAATATCAAATGGTTTTACCATACAATTAATTGCCTTTGAAAAAAAGTCAGGATGGCAATTTTTTAGTGTATACACTTGATACACAAAGAACACATTGGTTTAAATTCAAAGTTAACTTGTAATGTATGTAAAAGAATTGTCATGTCCTTCTCACATAAAATCCTTAAAATCCTCAATTCACCTCGAGAATCTGTAACCAACCTACTGATAGAACTGTGATAGAACATGAAACCTGTTATTCATTTTGAATATTTAAAATAAACAAGCCATGGTTGAAAATGTCATTTTGTTAAAAGTCACTGCTTGCTGGGATTTTTCCACAGCACTCCTGTCCATTGTGGGGGTACATTTCTCAAGACTCATGTGTCACATAAATTCTTCCTTCCTTCCTTATTTTTTTACACATATAAATTTCATTCACATGTAACATCGCAATACCCAGAGTTTCAAGTTATTTATATCAATTTGACAGTATCTGACTTTTAAATAATCAAGATATATTGTTCTGTTGCGACTGTTGTCTGTTATTGAAGTTGCCTTGGCATGTATTTTTAGCAGTAGGGTAGGAGGACTACTTCTGTGAGGTTGGTACAACTGTCTAGAGACACCTCACAATGTTATACCACTGAAAAGTTCAAAGATTAACTCGTTTTCACTGAATTGCACCACTCTCTCCTCCAAAGTGTCAACTTCAATGATAAGGAGTTGAAGTATAGCAATAGTGTGGATCTGAGGGACAGTTATTTGAGGTCGCGAGTTGTTGTCAAGGTAACAATTGTTCACACAGCTTCTGACTTTCTCAGTTGGGTTGGTACAACAACATTTCCTGGCATGACATAGTCCCCAATCATGAACTGGTTGCTGACCGGATACATTTCTCCCCTGCTGTTGGTTACTGTGCTGTTATTTTCGTTCGCACTACACATACTGTTGCATGTCGTTGACCTGGAGCTCTGTAAAAAATAAACAAGACAATACTCATTTATCATTTACTTATAGCAATCAGAACAACCGTAAATCATGATTATTATTTGTTCTGATTTTATAACTTTTTTTTTTAATGACACAGTGACATAATTTCTTCTACATATATTTTGACAACAAAGACATTTTATTCACATGACCAATAATACACCTTTCTATTGGTATGATATATTAGGGGAAAAAATCACTTCCAAAACACCACAACACTTTATAGCATGCTCATATAGCCAACATCACAACTCAAGAACCAGCAAGTTGCACAAAAAGTATTGTAGATTCTATCACATCAAGATACTCCTTGGTAAAGAGGAACTTGATTGTGGCAATATGCTGATATTACATGTATGCTCATATCATCAGGAGGATACAGAGCAGGCTGTGATGCAGTTTAAAGTGTGAAACACTAGAAAATAAATTCTGTAGGGTATAAATTTATCACACATTTTACTGTCAAAACTTTGAAAAATAGCCCCCAAAGATAAATGAAGTATTTGATCGATATCCAAGTTAAAATACCAGTGGACGCTTGAAACCCAGCGATTTTAAGTAGCTTGTCAAATAAAAACAAATCCTGATTTTTTGAGGGTAAAAACACACGTTATATGGGTCATATCCTTTCAAACTTTAGAATCAAAGTTCTTTTTGGAAAGTTGGAAACATAATCCTAAGAGTCTAGTGAAAGCCCAAATACATGTAAATAAAATGCCAGAGGACTTAAAAACAGCATTGAGATAACACATGCTATTCAAGATCCCATTTTGCATTAATACAGAGTAATCAACATCCCAGTTTGTATAAACACAGGCTATTCAAGATCCAAGTTTTTATTAACAAAGACTACAAGTAGGAAGTAGTAGTTGTAAATTAATCCATATTTATTCATATGAATTTTCCAAACCCCCCTCCCCCCCCAATCAAATGACCTTTAAAATATAATCCCTAATCAGAAGAATATAAGCACATTTGGACTGGTTCTTTATTTCTTACAAATATTTCCTTAAAAAAACAACCAGGATTGGGCATCATGCTTAGCCTATGAAAAAAAAAAATCAGGAGAGAGAGGTCACAAGCGAATGTAAAGTACAACGTCCAAATATCATGAAGGAAGATTATAGCTTTTGTGTCTTCCCAACAGCTAAGGTCATATGATGATGATGATGATGTTGGCAGATGATGAGGTCACTTGATTGACACAGTATCATGGCAACACATTATCAGGCTTAATTGTAATACAACAGTTTACAACATTGTTACTACCCAGGAAAAGTGTTATGTATTCAGGTTAATTTGGTAAAATGTCTTGTTCATTGATAACTGTCTTTATGTAAAATGCTGGTGAACAAAAGCACAATCTTCTATAAAGGGTTGATTCATACAACATCAACAAGTTAGTTAAAGTGGCAAAACTGATTAGACAAATTAAACTCTAATATCAAATGTTTTCACAGGTATAATAAAATACTAGCATACTGGAGATTTGAAGGCTCCACTAAAAGCAGTCATTCCAACTGAAAAATAACCTTTTACTTTTTTAATAAATAAGATCTGTATCAGAGGAAAGCTGAGAACTTTCAACTCTAGTTCACTATTCCAGACCATATAAAGGCAGGAAATTGAATTTCAACTAGTTTTACAACTGTTTTGATCTATTTTCAATTTTTGCTAAGATTTCTTTCCAAAAATCCCTAAGAAGTAAGTGTAAATATCTCAACAAATTCTAAATACCAATAAGTGTTGGGGAGAGGTTTGTGTGCAGCTAAATGAAAATTAAATATAGTGCACCTGAAAAGTGTTAGGCTAATAATAGACAACATCAAAAAAATTTGTAAAATTACTTAATGTGGAAAGTGCCATATAGTGTTGGGTTACATTTTAAGCATGCATTAAATATATGAAAAAAAATTGTGTAGAAAGAAAAACTACATTAATGAGAATATTTAAGGCCTTGTTAAATCTGCTATTTACGGCTAATGCTGACCTGTGTATTCATCGCGAAGTTTACAGGACTTATTCCTCCTCCGACAGACGTTCGGTTTGCATGGTGGGTGTTGTTCGTCACCAAATTTAGAACACTGGGGATACTGCCCGGGTTTATTGGTGCGACATTAGCTGCAAGGAGGTAAAATGTGATGCACTTGATATACAAGGATAACACACATAAGTTACTGATACATTTACTTTATTGTGTGAAATCTTAATGGTGCATCAAGATTTTCTTTTCATCATCTTTACCCCAAAAATGAAAAGAAAATTTTGACAGAAGCTGGAAGATTTAAGCACTTCTGAGGGGCAAAAAAGCAGGCAGGGCATGTAGCGACCCTTATTTAAGATGAAAAGTGCATAGTTGGACCACTTACAGTGCATGAATTGGACAGGGAGTGACAGGATCATTAAATGCATGTGTGGGTCAATGACAATGGACTGACTGGATGTATATAAATGTTGATTCCATGTTTATATAAGTCTGTCATTTCTAAGTTTAAATGATGACTACACGTAAATGTAGACCAGTGCAATGGATGTTTCAAGCCTAAATCAGTAAATTATGTGTTTCTGACCTACAACACCTATTTTTGACTACCTGGTACCTACCCTTAAGTTTTGGTTATAAAAATATATGTTTAATTCCTTAAGGAAAATTACCATTATAACCAACGGTTCCAAGTTTAAGTTTATGAGATGGAAACATGTTCAAGATACATACATGTACAATACAAACTCTAACCATAGCCCCACAAGTTAAATGCCACACTGTTTCACAACATTCATCATCAGTTGTGTACAATGTATTTGTAGCTAATGTGAGGGACTTATTTTCAAAATCACTTTGTGAGACTGTCTGGGCATATTGCATGCATAGTTGTTGCAAACATATTGAAGAATGTAGATTATATTAATATTACGTTACATATTTTTCTGCATTAGTGAATTTTAACGATCTGAAAAATATTTTGCTTCAATTCAAAGTAAAGAAGAACGGATAGAAATGAAATAACAGACTACACACATATTTCATTTCACTCATATAACATTTATTATAAGACAACCTACAGTAGCCCCCACTTGTTTTGGGGATATTACACCTATTCTAAGATGGGCTACAGTAGTCCCCACTTGTTTGGTTTGGGGATATTACACCTATTCTAAGATGGGCTAAAGTAGTCCCCCGTCAGTGGTGAAGGTATATAACAATCACTAGAGTGTCGTTGTATATACTCACAGACTGGGATCAGGTTTGTTTGTACAACACCCTGCTGCTGCAACATGTTGGGGTCTATACCATTCATCAACCCGTTCATGTACATCGTGGAACCTTAATAAAAGAAAACCAAATAAACAATGACCTTGATTTTAAAACCAACACAATGACAAGCTAGCAGTGATCTATAAAATTTACATATTTGATTAATATCGTCTTCAGAATTCGACAGAAATATAACCTCAAAAATCAACAGTTGACTTTAAAATGACTACTTAACTATTTTACCTGTAGCAGGACTATTTCAATACTTACCTGTAGCTAGACTGTTCCAGTAATTATCTGAAGGAGACGTGGTGTTCTGACCAGGAGGGGGCTGCGGATTCTGACCAGTGTATCTGAAGAACGGGTTCTTCAGGTCCAGTGTATTTGTGGACTTTGACCCTGTTCCTGGGATATTTACCTCTATATCAACATCATAACTTTGTCTGAAATACAGATATTTATATGATTGATGTTAGCTAAATTTCAAGTCTTTAAATCCGACTTAATTGATAATTATAAAACTTTTGGATTCTGCGACTTTCGATTCTTCACAATATTAAAGCTTGGTCTTTAACAATGATCAAATAATTTGAATAATTATCGAACACTAATCTGGGCTTGGTTGTTCAAATCCAGTATCACTGAACAAGTCTTTCATGCAGATGATTACTGTGAATCCATATACATGTAGTTTTCACTTCTAATCTTCATATTTTGAGAAAATAAGCTGTATGAAATAATGTTTTACGTTTGACAATAACTTTATCTGGACCATTACCTCTTGTTACATCGCAGGAGACATTTGCCGGTGACCGTCTGCCCCCGTTTTACAAGCACAGGAGTCTCTATCAGGCATCGTACCTGGTACCAATGTGTCAGCGTCTCCGTTGGGGCTGTAGACAACCATATGGATTCACTGAAACACACACAACTTTCCTGTAGATATTTCACAACAGCTTAGAATCTCAGGTCAGCAATTATGGCCATTTTTTCACATTTTTTCACTGGGTTATTAAAAAGAAATTATTTGAAAGCTGGATGAATCCTCTTTTTTGAATCTTGGGATTTTAACATGAACATGACCAAAACAATAATAATATATGAGAAATATATAAATAGTGAACAATCCTAATATGAATATTTTCTCTAAGTACATGTATTACAAATATTTATGGACATATGCCATACTTTTTGTTGGTGTGTTTTAAGTTCTTCTAACAGCCAAGGTTTTGTTGATGGAGAAAAATTGGAGCACCCCGAGAAAAACCAACCGACTATTGCCAGTACCTGGTGACTGCCCCACTAGGCCTTAAACCCGTGCCCCGGTGGTGGATGGCTAGTGAGTAGTGATCATAGATCGTCACAAAAGATAGTATCCTTATACACACACTTGTAAGACATCAAAAACATGTACATTTCTAACACCACTGCAGCCCTTATATGCCATGCTTGACATTTTATTGTGATTTGAGTTGAACATGTATCTCAAAAAGTTTATCTGCATCATTAAGGAATTACTCAGGTGTTCCCAATGTGTACATCCTTGGGTAACTTTCAAGTTTATCTGCATCATTTAGGAATGACTCAGGTGTTCCCAATGTGAACATCCTTGGGTACCTTTCAAGTTTGTCTCGTCACAAAAGATAGTATCCTTATACACACACTTGTAAGACATCAAAAACATGGCCATTTCCAGTACATGCATCAAATCCCTTTACTGCATTGATGTGTTACATTCACTGAAATAAACTAGAGACTTTTTCCAAAACTTACTTTGTTCCCAGAAAGGCGACATCAAACCAGAAGGCTAGCCCGTGTATGAGACCTGATTCCATCATGCTAAATGTCAGTGGTATCTCTATCACATGTAAATCTGTTTCATCTGCTGTTTGGAAGTCAACTGTGTATTTGGTGGATTTTGCAAGACAAATATTGACATCAAATGTATCCTGAAAAATAAAATGTCAAGCGAGTGTAAATGGGTTTTTTTCCAGACAGAAACTGCAGTAATTTCAAATGTTTAAACCTTCATTTATGGGAAGACCGTACAAACTTAAACTCAATATTTCACCACATATATTTTTTAATATTGCTTCATGGCATCAAATATCTTTTTTCCCCCCTTTTCTTTTTTTTTCTTTTTTTTTTTTTACAATTTTCCCAGTTTTACGAAGGCAGCTATAGGCTTTTATTTAGCTATTTTATATTGGTATCAGTGTAAAAACCTATTTTTCAATCCTTCCTTTGAGTTTCTCCCATAAGAAAACCTATTGAAAATGAAATACTTTTTTTGGAATTAAAGTACTTTTCCAGTCATTTTTTCTATGGAAAATATTAAAGTAAGAAGCATTTCAATTCCACTTGAATTCAGGCCCTATCTTAAATTCGAAAAGTTTGAAGGTTTGTATTACTGAACAGAAAACCTCAATGATTTCATTTTGTGTTACACAACTTCATTAAGGACTGAGGAAGTGAATTCCTCTGAACTTTCAGCTTGGAATCTAAATATTGCTGTTATAAAACCACTCAAGTTGACAGTTTACAAAAGCTAACTGGGCCTTTAAAGGGACTATTTACTCAAATGACAACCTGAAAATCGAGTCAATACTGAAAATATACATCTCTCAATGTAAGCTTTTGTACTTGATAATAATATGACCTGACGTCAACATCCAATGTGGTCAGTTTAATCTTTTGGGAAAGCCTGATAAAAATAGCTACGACAGAAATAGAGCAATATCCTGGCCTTTCAGTGAGAAGTAAACATGTACAGCACTACGCTGTCGACCGACAACACAGTGCCAGTAACGAGTCTGAGTTCACACATAACGCATTCTTGAATTTACACATTAAACCCCAGGTAAGAATTATAACTATCATAATATAAACCTCTAATCAGATATTTCTGTTCATATTTGGATTTGAATAAAAACGAACAGGTTTAATCAGATCATGCACGCACTGAGAGGGTGCCGCAGGGAGAATTTCAAACCACAGAAAGTATGATATCAATAGATCAATCGATCATTTATAACGATGTTTGAGATGCTATTGGAAGATGATTTTGATTCAGAATAAATGCATGTACTTGTATCCCAGAAAGGCTAGGTGAATTAAGCTAGAAGTTACCTACTCTCCTCGGCTGGAAAGACATTTTTGTTAGCTAGAAATTCACCGACAGCTGCCCCTAAAGTTAAGGATTTCTCAATTACTGATTAAAAACACCAAGAAAGCATTGTCTCTGGTCAATTTCTCGACTTGAATTGTTCATAAGGAGTATCAAACTATATAATCATAAAGCGTTTTATGACAACATTATAAAAAAAACTTACTTCACTAAATTGTCCCATTAAATGGAGTGAGAAAATGTTGAAAAAATTCCAATTTCTTTACACAACAACTTTGCAACACTTTACACAGCAACTTTGTATCCATTGATATGACCTACCACAATAGGTTGTTTGAAATACTCTGAGACAGCTGCACTTCGTAAGCTAGTCAGGTCTATTCCATGGAAAGACTGTTGGTACCTGTACATAAATCAAAAGTCAATTAAAGAAACGATAACATGCTTCACTTGCAACAAAACAACAACAAGAGGCCAAACGAGATTTAAACATATTTGATCCCTTTGACCTTGAATATGAGCAAAGGTAATTCATTTGAACAAACTTGGTAGCCCTTCATCCCTGCATGTTAATGGCCAAATATCATAATCCAAGGCCTTTTGGTTATTGAGAAGAAGTTGTTTAAAGTTTTTAAACATATTTGACCCCTGTGACCTTGAAAATAGGTGAAGGTCATTTATTTGAACAAACTTGGTAGCCCTCTATTACAGCATGCTACTGGTCAAATAGCATCATCCTAGGCCTCTTGGTTATTGAGAAGTTATTCAAAGGTTTTAAACATATTTGATCCCTGTGACCTTGAAAATAGGTGAAGGTCGTTTGTTTGAACAAACTTGGTAGCCCTTCATCTGAGCATGATACTGGTCAAATATCATTGTTCTAGGCCTCTTGGGTATTCAGGTGAAGTTGTGTAAAGGTTTTAAACATATTTGACCCATGCGGCCTTGAAAATAGATGAAGGTCATTTGTTTGATCAAACTTGGTAGCCCTTCATCCCAGCATGTTACTTGCAAAGGCCTTTTGGTTATTGAGAAGAAATTTTTAAAAGATGTTTAACATATTTGACCCCTGTGACCTTGAAAATAGATGAAAGTAATTTGTTTGAACAAACTTGGTTGCCCTTTATCCCAGCATGTTACTGGCCAAATATCATTATCCTAGGCTCCTTGGTTATTGAGAAGAAGGTGTTTAAAGGTTTTAAACATATTTGACCCATGCGGCCTTGAAAATAGATGAAGGTCATTTGTTTGATCAAACTTGGTAGCCCTTCATCCCAGCATGTTACTTGCAAAGGCCTTTTGGTTATTGAGAAGAAATTTTTAAAAGATGTTTAACATATTTGACCCCTGTGACCTGGAATATAGGTAAAGGTCATTCATTTTAACAAAACTTAGTAGCCTTTTATCCTAGCATGTTACTGCCTAAATATCATTATCCTAGGCCTATGAGTTATTCAGAAGAAGTTGTTTAAAGATTTTTTAAGACAATTGACCCCTGTGACCTTGAAAATGGGTGAAGGTCATTTATATGAACAAACTTGATAGCCCTTCATACCAGTTTGCTTCTGGCCAAATATCATCACCTTAGGCCTTTCGGTTATTAAGAAGACGTTTAAAGTAAAATATTGACGCCGGACGGATGCCGCACCACGGCATAAGCTCACTTGGCACTTCGTGCCAGGTGAGCTAAAAATAACAAAAGCAATAAATGACATAATTGCAGACCTTGATATGATTTAGCAAAATTTAAATAAACTGCAAAATATAACTTTTCTTTACTTTTCTCAGTACCTGTGTTCTTACTAATGCAATTTCCCATCACATCATATTATGATCAGTACATTGATTGCAGTTCAGGTTACATATGACAAAATAGGAGATGATAGTCGACAGGTCTGAAACAATAAAACGCTATCAGGTATATTGATGACTTGTCAGACCTTAATTAGATGTTGGATTAATAATCGTTCTGTCGTGGGCTCCACTGAAATTACAACATACACCACTGGTGCTTCCACAGTTTATAAAGCCCTACAGTATATAGTCTGTCCATACTATTTGCCAGATAAAGACGCAATTAATAGCATATGCAAGTTTTCTGCCGGGCCTATGTCACTTAATTGAGGCTTCAGTTCTAGGTTAGGTTATATATAGTAAATGCGAGTACCCTTTTAATGGAAAAACACTGTAGCTGGAATGTTATGAATCTGAACTTTTCTGTTTGTTGTTGATTCATAAAATCCATATTTGAAATTGTACTCACCAGAAGTTGGCTTTTGAAAACTGCTCCATGTAAAGAGCTTCATCTGTGAATGGTGCTATGTGTAGATCTCCTTGAGATGGAAACATTTTACCTAAAATTAAAAAAAATGCAAAGTTTATACATTTGGAATTCATTTGTTGATATGTTATCCAATAAGACAAAGACAGATTATTATAACAGTATAGTACACATTCAATTAGCAAATGTCATCAAGGAGCCCATCTCATGTCAGGTGTGAATGATCTATATATAGAAACTGCCAGTTCATGTAAATATACAATTCTTTTCAGTTTCTGCCGAAACATTACCTACGTTGCATCTCTTCTTGAATGGGCTATTTTAATGAAAAAGACAAAACAAAACTACAATCACTGTATATGGAGGATTTACAAACGAAGCTTAAATAAGTAAACATTTACCAAAAACCTATTTTCATGATCATACCTGAAATTATTTAACAGTCAGGATAATTATTCGAGACATGAACTGAACAGATCCATGTGTCCTGTTTGAATTTGTTTGATTATAATAGACAAGATGCTTAAAACTCTTGGGAGTCTCCAAAACATAATAATTCACAGTATAACATTCAAAAGAGTAGGCTATAAATCATTACCTCCTGGTCGAAGCCACTTTTTTGCATGTAAGAAGCTTTCCAGCATGCGCTCATTGAAGAGCATGTAGCCCATGGGCTCGGATATGATGGTGTCTACCTCCTCCGGGATCTCCACCTCCTCTACCTTGCCTGGTATCACAATGATCTTGTCTCCAAGTTTGTTGTGTTGAACAAGCATCTGTAAACAATCAAACAACACATACAATGACAGTGTTCAGTACTGTGTTAGCAGCAATAAAGGAAGTTTTAATTTTTTATTTACAAGGTTTGTACTTACGATGAAATTCAAGCCTTCCCCCTCCCCTCCCCTGAAAAATAAAGCCTAAAATCTCCTGCCACTATACAGACAATCAGATGTGTAACGGTCTGTAATCTGGATGACACATCATCAGAAAAAACAAAAACAAAAAATGGTGGGTATTCAGAAAATCTAGAAATTAACTTGGTAATCCTGCATTTAGTCCAATTCAAGTCTTATTTTTATCTTTTCATGACATTTTTTTGATGAATTTAGATGCTTTTATAGTATTTTCCTCAATTTCGGACTTCCTTGTTTTCAGGGCATATTCAAGGGTTACATAAACCCTTATTTTTATCATAAATCATGTTTAACTACATCAAATGGGGGTTTAGCAATTTGTCATAATCAAATTCAACATTGCAAAACTTGAATGTCACATTCAGGAATTATAGGTCATATTTACAATAAGTGTTCTTGTTCTGCCTACCTCACAATGTTGTGCCATGCTGCTAGCTTCAATTGCATACACTTTTCTAGCACCTGCTTGGATGGCAAAGAAGGACAGGATTCCCGAGCCAGCTCCCACATCTAAAACAACCTACCAAGCAAAAAGGAAATCGACACTGATCATTTTCTTAGTTAATGATGTGAACATTTTCTTAAATAATGAGATCTGAAAAGATTTATAGATTATATCACTGTTTTATCATTGAGATCCTTGGTCTGTGATAAACGTTAAGAAATAGAAGATTTTCGTGGAAGAATACATTGAACCTTAAAACTATGTAGAAAGTTATGTTTAAAACCATATTATCATCATTGGCTTTTCCATATCCACATTTATGCTAAAAAAAAAAAAGTGTTCTTATCCTCACAATATTTTCTTCATAACTTTGTAATGATTTGTTTATGACAGACTGTTTATGTGGGGATACAATTTCCGCTTTTGGCAGGATGTTTCCTGGAGGGAGCAAACATTCTGTTTTGAGAAAAAAATGTTCCTAACTGGGAAAATCCATTCATGTTCTCCAGTCGTTCTCAACTTCTTCTTCATTATTCTCATACTAACAACCCATAATTATCAATTTATCATGCTACCAGTGTAGATGGTATAAAGTAGTGTGATAAATGTATATACATGATTCTGGTTACACCCCAGATTTCTATGACATCACATGTAGTGATGATTACTAACACTCAATCATGAATTAATTTCCTGACACCCTATATTTGCCAGTAATGCCCATATCTGAAAAATAGTGAAACAGTGTTCTTGACTTTCAGGTTGTGATAGGATGACAAGATGAATGGCAACCAATAAGCCCAAACTCTTTATTGTGATGATACAATATGTATATACCTAGTCAGTGGATACACACCAGAAGGATGCCACAGCCAGACAGAATTAATGATCTTTGAGAAAATCGCACATTGCTGCATCTGTGTACATTACCTTATCATGAAAGTCTACTAAGTTTGCCAATATCGCTCGTTGGTATGACGAAGTCCTGATGTAGTCTTGCATCATGTTCTGTTGTTGAGATAAGTACCCATAGAACTGTAAAGTAAAAGAGTTCCTTATTTAGTACAACTCTTATGTATATCAATTCTAAAACATTATCTGGACGAGTCCATTATGGTCTACAGTGGTGAAAGGGTTAATAACACAAAAACAGTACCTGAAAGTATTGCACAGCAGATGCTTCATCTGTTCTCTCTGAGAATGTTGATTTAAGGCCAGATGTTAATTCCTTCAACCTGAACTGAAAAGTTTTCATTGCTGCAAAGAAAAGGTATGAATAACCAACACAATTCTTTACTGAACAACGAATAAATACCAACATCACTGACTAGTTATAACAAGACAAATTAATACAATTGCATTTAAGTCTGTTTAGTAATTCTATCAACAGAGTAAGGTCACACACAAGATGAAACAGTTTAAAATATATATTAACTTGGATTTTAAAACCAAGAGAGAGTTCATAAAAATCTGTACCAAGAAAACAAAGGTATCAGGTATAACAACGATTGCAGCAGACACATTTTGGTCTCTGTAACAGCAATTGACCAAACTAGTGAATCCTTAAGTTGGCAAAGCCATGTCGTTAATTTTTATATTCAGGTAAATCAACATACTGTGTACACTGTTGAATTTGACCCGTGAACTCTTCTGATCTTCAGTGAAGACAACACATTGTTTTCCCAGTCTGGAAAACTCAGTATCATTATTCACAACAATTCTATGGCATTCTTTATCATCTGAAAAATAAAAATAGAAGAAAAGTGTTCACAAGCATAATCTTAACACACTTCAGTAAATGTTGTTGGTTACACTTGTGGTTATCGTTGTTTCGTTGATACATGTCACTAGTAAAAACTTTGATTGTAACATATCATCAGGATACACCGACACATCCAAACACAGGAAGGTTGTCCCTTACATATTAAATCAATGTTATTCCAAGACTTTAATACCATGTCACCAGCAGAATTTAAACCTACAACTGCAAGGGAAAATCCAAGTGTTCTATAAAGAACTTTTAAATCAAGGTATGTTTCTTTCGTCTGTCAGGTCGGTCAACAGAAAGACCACTAAGGTCACAACAACAAACAAACAACTATTTAGAATATGATTAACAAAAAGCAGTTCATATTTTGCTGTTGTGTGTAATGTTACCTTAAAATATGATTTGAAGTGCAACAAACTTTCAACCTAATATATCACATTAGATATCAAAGAGTTGGCTAGTGAGCTGTGACTTTTAGTAGTTCAGTTGCTTGTCTATGTCTATTTACCAGACTACCACAAACTTTTATCAAAGGATCCACTTAATTTTTATAAACAATCAAAAAATATTAATTATTCATGCTATAACCAGCTGTCAAATTCTATTACGCTGATCAATAACCAAAAAATGAAAATGTATATTGATCATCAATACTTTTATCAACACATATGCTTCTGAAAGAAGTTTAATTCAATATCACTTTATTATGATAGATTTCGTAGCGTAAACCACTTTTTTTGCTCTATTTATAGTGGCGGTTCATTGGCGGTATCCTTTGTTCGTTGACTTAAAACACAATTATGAAAGGCATTGAAGGATCTGTTGACACTGACCACTGTGAAAAGTTAATAAAACACTTTCAATCTGTGATGAGACATCTAAACGACATTTCGTATTAATGACTGGCTTGAAATCCTCTTCTTCGGTGAGGACAGCAACCTGCACGTTGTCGTACGTCGTCGCCATATTTATTAGATGCCACTTCGAGGCTACAGTCTGTTCCTTGAAAGACCGAAAGAGTTACACTTTTACAAAGGAAAAATAAAAGCTGAGATATATAATCAAATTGACATCAGTCACAATAACTTAATCAAAATAATTTAAACCAAATGTTTCAAAATTAATAATTAAATGTGGAAAGAAATGATGATCCTCGATTAGATCAAATATTCGAAAAAATGAAACAGTCTATAGATTTAAGATGGTCGACCATGTGGGTAAGGTTGTTCTTCCCGGCGAGATCGTCACCGGTTTTAAAGCATCTGAGAAAACATCAAAGGTTATTCTAGGGCCAGGACTCAGACAGGAGACAGAAACGATAAGAGCTACAAAACCGGGAATTTTAAGACACAAAGAGCCCAATATTTATTGGGTCGACAGTCACCAGAAGAGGGTGAGGGTTGTAAACACGACAAGGGAGATAACTATTACATCTCAATCATTAAGTCAATGTATCCGAAAATAATATGCGTTTTACAAGTCATATTTCTTCTGTCATATATATTTAATGGTAATTTACTATAGGTGATGCATATCAGTATGAGATAGAGATGTAGTGAGTGTTGTGTTAATTTTCCATGTTTACAGAGACAGAACGATAAAATATAGAAGGATTTTAACAAGCTGCTTTATAGCAAATGCTGTCAAAAAGGAAGTATCGTCTAGTCACCAGTTTCCGCGCGTTATGTATTTCCGCGCAGCCATTTTATCAAGCAATATCTAGAACCCATACCTGAAAAAACGGTGATATATTTCATTCATGAACCGGTCTTTTTTGTAGTCTGACAAACGTACGAAAATGTCGTATGCAAATGAGGCCACATCTCCTCGCCGATTTTTGTCCACTTCCGAAGAGCCAAGGAGACATTCTTCCCTCGATAAACAGTGTTTTCAATAAAACGTAAACCTTGTAATGCAATGAACTTCCAATTTTAAACAGAACAAAAATGAGAAATAACTTACCATCAACCAAAACCGATATAAAACTGCAGAAAAAAATAATAACAGATTCTATATTATAACTAAATAAATATAATCACGGACTTAGATAATTCCGTGATATAATTAATAAATTTATAAAATTACATGAATTCGTTCAATTTGACATCTTGAAAAATCAATTAAAAATGTGAAATATAAAAAAAGTGTGTGATAATTAATTAGACAATCAAAGATGGTTTTTTTATTCCAAATGAAGCTTTTGTTCTTTCAGGTCACTGTAAAGAATTTCTTTTTAGTGTATTCTTTTTAGATTTTATACATGTTTATGACAGTCTTCCATAATTTCAACAGTTTTCTGCCGATATGAGTACGAAATCGGGGATGCTTCTTAAGTGCGCGGAAACCGGTAACCCGAGGATATATTAAACGATATCACTCATCTTTTTAAAATACCACTGTTTAACTCACAACAATAACTTACAAGGCAATTTCATCGAAAGAAAATAACATGCAATTCATACTCTGAAAAGCTTCACTTTAATACATGACAGACACTTGTCTATGATTGAATATAAATACAAGCATTAGCCTTGATGTATTGACAGTCGAGGCTAGTGACTCAGGAATGATTATTTGATTACAGAATTATTCAATAGAATCATTTTGTGAATATAAGGTTTTTAAGCAAGATGAAATGCCAATTGTGAAATACTGGTCAGAGCTAATCACTTTATAGAGTGTGGGGCATTTCAGTATTGTCATAGTATATTGACCCCCACCCCCTCCGCCAAACTTACCTTCTTTTCATATGCTGTCACCTACAAAGGTTCATTTAAATGTTGCGTTTCATTCCCTACTTTCGTTTTTACAGAGTTATGGGCCTTTTTTATATGAAACATTTCTGAAGGTTTGGAATTATGGATTGCTTGAAATAATTTACCTTGCTAATAGTGTTTGGAATTGATTCAATTTTCATGATTGATCACTTACTCTAAACTAAAAACTGATTGATGAATGATAATTTTAAAGAAATTCATGGTAAAATCCTCCATGCTGTTGTTCTGAGTTGCTCATGAGACGAGAGTTGTGAGAATTACCTCCCTTCAAATGCTGTTGAACGTGTAATTTAAGGTGAAAGTGGCTATGAGTGTGCTTGAAAGTAAAAGTATGTCGCTGTCAATGCTGATAGGCTTGAAAGTAAAAGTATGTCACTGTCAATGCTGATAGTCTTGAAAATAAAAGTATGTCACTGTCAATGCTGATAGGCTTGAAAGTAAAAGTATTTCACTGTCAATGCTGATAGGCTTGAAAATAAATGTATGTCACTGTCAATGCTGATAGGCTTGAAAGTAAAAGTATGTCACTGTCAATGCTGATAGGCTTGGAAATAAAATAATATTGCTGATAAATATCAGGAGACTTTTGCTGCTAAACTATTGTTAGTTTCCAGCATGGAGATAGACCTAAAATCATTGATCACTCTATTGAAAACTCCATTGTACCTACACAATCATTCTAACTAAAACAGTTGTGAATTCTGAAGTCAGTTAATCAGTTAATCAGCCTTAACTACCCAATAGTCAACAAAGTTAATAAACTGGAACATGATTACTTGTTATGATACATGTTTACTATCCCTGTGTTCTTTACTCTGCAGTACATACCTGTTAAAGGAGATACAGTCCTTGGGATTGTGACAGCTAAAGCAGGTGACATCTTCAGGGTGGATGTTGGGAGCAGTGACCAGGCATCATTACCATATGTAGCTTTTGAAGCTGCTACCAAAAGGAACAGACCTGATGTGAAGGTAAATTGAATAGTGTCACATCATAGACCAACCTTATCTCTACCTTCCATATAATACACAAAGGGATTCCTAATAATGAATAATGTAATAAGTACACATTGCATAGTTGGGTTGAATTCCAAAAGTTTATAAGAGTAGAACATCATTGCAAATATTGAAATAGTCTACCACACTTGAAAAAATTAATTGGAAAATATGATTTTTTTTATTCGTTACATTATTTTAGTGTCCATTTGTTAAAAAAAATTACTTGGTAAATTTAACTTTATCTTGGAGATACCTTTGTCCAGTTGGCATTCGTATTGCATATGAATGCCAACTGAAAGCAGTTCAATATTTGTTTTTACCATTTTTGGAATCTGTTTATCTCATGTTAAATTTATTTACACTTATCAATATTCAGCATTCAGTTAGAATAATGTATTTATCGTGCATAGCTGGTACTAAACAGTAACAATGGATGGTCGATGGTATCCAAAGTAACAGCTATGATGTCATAATAGTAATGAGTTTAATAATTAGCTCATGACATTCATTGTCCATATGAATGCCATCTAATTGTAGTAGGGTTATATATTGGCTATGCCATACAATGGTAGATATATTTCCATGACATTATTTTTGAATAGCAATGTTTTATGCTTCATATATTGGTAAGAAGTATTGCATGGTCATCATTGTGTCAATATTATCTTTGAATATTGAAGGTTGGAGATATAGTGTATTGTAAGTTTGTGGAGGCCAACAAGGACATGGAGGGAGAGGTGGTGTGTATAGACAGCAGTGGCAAAAGTGGAGGCCTTGGTGTAATTGGCAGGGATGCAGGATACCTCTTCCAGGTCCCCATCAACCTCACAAGGAAGTAAGTGTAAATCCGGGATCAATGTCATTAATGGAGGCTAGTTCCACAAGGTGTCTGTCCATGTCACAAGATAGTCAGAAGTTCAGGGTTCATTGGCAGGGAGGAATACCTCTTCTAGGTCTCCATTAACCTCTAAAAGAAGGAAGTCTAGCTCATGGGTTATTGGCATTGAGGGAGGATACCTTTTTAGGTCACCTGAGCTTTAGCTCAAGTGACCTATTGCTATCCGTTTTCGTCCGTCGTCGTCCGTCGTCCGTCGTCCGTCGTCCGTCGTCCGTCGTCCGTTAACATTTTACATTTCAAACTTAAAGTCAAGTTCTGCTGGGCCGATTGAACTGAAAGTTGGTAGGAATGATCGCCTCATGGTCCTGACAAAGTGTTGTTATTTTTCGGGTCAATCAGAAATACAATTTGGCTGCCATGGCCGCTATTTTGCTACTAAGTTCTAATAGGCCGATCTCACTTAAAATTGGTCTAGGAATGATCAGCTCATGGTCCTGACAAAGTTAAGTTAACATTATACTATTTTTTACTCAAATTGGTACATATTTCAACAACAAAAATAAATACTGTAGACTCAGGTGACCGTTTAGGCCCATGGGCCTCTTGTTTTGATTCCAGCCTACCTCAAAATAAAGTAAAATGTTTGTCTGTGGTTATTGCAAGGGATGGAGCTACCTCACCTATATTGCCATCCTTCTCACAAGAGTTTAAGCCTAGATCAGGAGTCATTGGCGCAGAGGAAGGATATACATGTAGCTTCCAGATCTTAACTTACTTCAAAATGAAGTATTTTTCAGTGGTTCTTGCCAGGGAGAGAGGCTAATTTAGCCTAATTATAACTCCTCAGGTCCCCAACAACTTCAAAATGAAGTAAGTGCAGGTCCACGCAGGGCTTAGTTGCATAGAGGGAGTCTTCCTCACCTAGGTCTCCATCCTCTTAACAAGGATATACTGTATACAGTTATCCTAGGTCAGGGGTCATAGGCAGGGAGATGTCATCCCTTTAAGGTCTGCATCATTCTCCTAAGGAAGTGACCATAGTTCAGTGTAGGGGTCATTGACTGGAAAGTGATACTTTTTATAGGCCTCGATCCTTTTCAAATAGAAGTAAGTCTACTTTAGGGGTTATTGACTGGAAGGGGATACCTTTTATAGCTCTCAATCCTTTTAACAGGAAAGCAAGTCTAGTTTAGGGATTATTGACTGGCACTGGAAACCATAATGCAATATACTGTGATACACACAACATTTAATTTGATATGTATTAGTATAAATATATAAACAATAGTCCAGAAGGAACAGATAGATGACATGGTGTAAAATACAATTGGTATGAATAGAGGTGCCAAACAGGACTGCTCAGTGTTTTTAAAAGCTGTATCTATATGACTCTTTCATGGAGTGAAAACACCAATTTAGCTTATATTACATACCATTGGTTTTGATGTATACTGTACTGGCATATTATGCATTGATATGCAATACCAGTATGGTCCATAATATATTTTTCCCAATATCTAACTCATACTTTTCATGATTTTACTTTTTGCTACTGAAGCTAATTTGAATAGAAAAAGAATTATAATTTTCATTTCAGAGTGCTCAGTCCTGATTGTGAATTGTTCGGATCACTTGGTAAGAACATGCGTTATGAGACGGCAGTTGGGATGAATGGTCGGATCTGGGTGAAAGCAAAGACAGTTGTGGAAACAATAGCCATTACAAACGCTATATGTGCATCTGAGTATATGACAAACACTGAAATTAAAAACATGTGTAAACGACTAGCTGATTCTATGGCTGGTTTCTGAGTAACATGTGTAAACAACTGGCTGATTCTCTGAGTTAAGTGTGTAAATGACTGGCTGATTCTCTGGCTGGATTCTGAGTTTCTTGTGTAAACGACTGGCTGGATTCTGAGTTACCTGGATAAACGACTGGCTGGATTCTGAGTTACCTGGATAAACGACTGGCTGGATTCTGAGTTACCTGGATAAACGACTGGCTGGATTCTGAGTTACCTGGATAAACGACTGGCTGGATTCTGAGTTACCTGGATAAACGACTGGCTGGATTCTGAGTTACCTGGATAAACGACTGGCTGGATTCTGAGTTACCTGGATAAACGACTGGCTGGATTCTGAGTTACCTGGATAAACGACTGGCTGGATTCTGAGTTACCTGGATAAACGACTGGCTGGATTCTGAGTTACATGATAAAACGACTGGCTGATTCTCTGGCTGGTTTCTGAGTTTCATGTGTAAATGACTAGCTGATTTTAATGCCTGGTTTCAGAGTTGCACATTTTAAGAACCAATCCACTACTCCAAGCAACTTTAATTAATCATGTATAAGGACGAGTGAATGGCTGAAAATCTAACTCTGGAACAGTGGCGATGACATGTGCAATTCAAGAATATAGAGCCGTAACGTTTCCCAATATCGGGGCAAAATTAATTAATCGATCTTGTAAACGAGTGACAATGAGAGTGGACATGACTGTTAATGAGTGGACATTATTAATGCACAGGAATAGGGTAAGAGGTGAGAGGAGGCAGCAATGTTTGTAATAAGACTGTTTCTTGGTGATGTAAAGACAAAGTGTATATGTATGATTTGCGATTCACTTCATTATTGTAAGTGCTGTTAATAAATGTTGACTTTATGACTAACACTGTCAGAGTTTCTTTGTACATTGTATAATCCCACTTAATTGAACTTGTTGTAAAGTTATTTATGCATTAGTAGTTGGGAAAATGAAAGTAAATTGATTATTTTAGTATTTACAACTGGCAGAGTTAGATATTTCTTTGAATTTGACAGATTGCATGTAATGTATTTAGAATTATCTGGCTTAGGGTTGTTAAAAGCAAGTTCTTGGCCAGAAAAAATAAAAACAAATTATAGAATATCTTACCTGCTCTTGTGATGGACTGCATTTTCTTTTGTTAGCTGATAGATATTGAAATCAATTGGAGATCATAAAGGGGAGCCAAATAAATGACCTAGATCTTTATTCAAGGTCACGAAGGTCAAATATATATAACTCTTCTGAAAATCTGAAAGGCCTAAGCTCAAGTTATTTAGTCAGAAACTAGCTGTCAAGGTTTCAGAACTTCAAAAGTTGGTGAAACGAAAATGATCCCGAGATTTATTCAGTCACAGGTAAAATCTGATAAACCAGAAGTCCTAGAACAATAACACAAGCAAGTAGCTTGCTGCCATAAAGTGTTTCAAAGTTTGGGATAAGAAATAACCTTGACCTATTTTCAAATTCACAGAGGTCAAATTTGTTCAAATGCTCAAACAACTTCTTCCAAAGGACCAAAGGCCTGGAGTCATGATATGAAGCTACAAAGTTTGCAAAATAATTACTTCGAGCTACCTGGAATATTCAGTTTACAGTCACACGTCAAATTTGTTCAAACATTGCGATTTCTTGTCTACAGCCATGGTATAACCAGTAGCTTGCTGGCAGGGAGTGCTACAAAGCTTGCAAATTTATTTTACTTAGGGTCCAGGTGATTGTGGTTAGATTTGACCAAATGCTCATACGTTTTCAAAAGAATCAAATGGCTAGGAGTCATGGCATGATGCCTAGGCCTGCAACTTTGTGGTATGGAGTGATATAAAGTTTTTCAAGAGAAATTACATTGTTACATCAAATGCAACAGACCCAATTTCAGTACCCTGGGCCTTTTGGTTATTTAGAAGAAGTCATTTGAGATTTTGACACATTTTACCTCTGTGACCTTGAAAATGGGTCCTTGAATATAAAAAGGTCATTCATTTGAACAAACTTGGTAGCCCTTCATGAAAACATGCTACAAACCCAATATCAGTACCCAGGGCCTTTCGGTTATAGAGAAGGAGTTGTTTGAAGATTTTAAGACATTTGACCTCTGTGACGTTGAAAGTAGGTCAATGTCCTTCATTTGAACAAGCTTGGTAGCCCTTCATCCCAGCATGCTACTGGCCAAATATCCAGGTGAGCGATTCAGGCCCATTGGGCCCTTGTTTGGAATCAAGATTGCCACCATGGCCTTTGATTGGCTAAAACAATTTCAGTTATAAATTTTGTTCCATGAGCTGGAAGCTGACATTGTAAATACTTTTTGAGAGAGTCATACATAGCGATATATTTAACATATGATGATCAAATAGGGGGTATTGGTAGGTATTGATAGGCCAGTACTTTATATTTTGTAAAAAAAAGTGAAGCTTTGTCTAAATTTCCCTTATTAGGCCCTGTCCTTCTGTCTCACTGGAATACATCATTGAATCCATTGGCCTTTGGATGCTCCAGACCAAAATTAGTTCAAATTCCTTTATTCATTTGGAAGGAGAAGGATTTTAGAGATTTACATTCTAATTTGGCCTGCCTATCTGCCCGAAGACTATATAACACCCTTTATTTATACACAAGTGAGTTCCCTTGTCCAATTATAGCCCAAGACCAAATTTAGTCAAAATCTGCTTGGCCATTCTTGATTACAGGAAAAGTAATGGATGATGGACACTGTACCACATCATAAACTCACAGGACCCTTTGAGCTAAAAATCATCAACACGGTTTCCTGAAAACTGTAATTCAGAATACTACGTCTATACCTACATTATTCCAATGACGCATACCAAACTGTATACAAGGAAAATTTCGCTGCAGATTAATATTCGCCTTTTTCGCTCTCCCCAATGAGGATGAATTCATCATTACAGCAAATATGAGTAAACAACGTTATATTCATAGTAATTAAATTTAAAGGGCGAAATTAAAACTGGGCAAATGTGGCAATTACCTGCAAAGGGAGGAAGTTTGACTGGGCACAAATTTCCTGGTATACAGTGGTGTTAGTTGGAAATGAATAGTTACCTTAAGCTTGACCAATACACAAGTCCGGGATCTTTAGAATTTTGTATAAAATCTGGTCAGAATCCCAAGAAATTCTGCTTGGAATTTGTTAAGTGATCCTCCAACTATTTTTTATTTGCTGGTACACTAGTGCTGCAGTTTTACCTGAATTATTTCAGTTAATAGTCGTAAAGCATGCAGTAAAAAAAACAAGTACAATCTTTTCACAAATTGCATTTTATTGTATATATTATACACCGACAAAATATCACAATAAATCAAAGATACCTTAAGAAAAGTTTGTGTTACTCTCACCTGTGCATTCATACTACAATTTCCCTTACACACTTCCCACACATGTACATACACCCTGGTCTAGCTAGTACACCTATGGCAAACTGAAACCACATTGACCAGCAGTTGATACTAAATAGAGCATTGTTTATTTTTCAAATAAATGTGGTAAATAATACACTTTATAAGTTTTGGAAATAAAATACTTTTGAATCTTTTTTAATACATTAATTTAATACCATATAATACCATTACTTTTTCAGAATCTCACTGCTGACATATTGCAAAATAGATTTAATAGAACCAGTGATGCTGGCAGTATAAGTTAATCTTGACTGTATTTTGAAATAATTATGGTAAAAATTGAATTGTGTTTTTAATTGTAGTCTTCATCCAAATTGCAGTGTGGAAATTTTGTGTTGGCAATGCTGCGGCAATATCTATATCAAAGGGTATCAATATGTCATGCATTTTTATTGTGCTGATTTTGTAATACATAAGGTATGAGTGTAAACTTACGTTACCATATCATGGGATATTTCCACTGGGATAACATTTCTGCTATTTCGTGGGTCATCAATGTGATCATGGAAGTATCACACATGTGAACGTTTTGTTTGTTTAGGGTTTAATGTCCACGCAACAGCCAAGGTCATGAGGATGGGAGGATGGACATTTGATAATAAACTTCATAATCAAAATTTTATCTTGAAAATGAATTACATCACACATCCAATAGATTGGTGGATGATTTGTTTTAAAAAAATACACTTATCATATTTGTATGTCACAATCTTCTGTAATAAACCAAATTCATTTGATTATTTTACATGTTTTATGTGGAGTATAAAACCTGCCTAGGTACTAAAATCAACGACACATGTAGCATGGCAGAATCTTTACCTACTTTACAGATTATTTGATAGCAAAAGTTTACTAATTTTGAGTCGAAATCTGAAGAATTGAAGCCCTTGTAAATAACCAGCTGTTCGGTATACATCTGTTAAAGTGTATTCTAAATACAGCTGTAATAGTGACCAGCAACAAAACCTGATTACATATTGTATAATGTATAGATGTTATTTATTTACTTTGTCTTGAATTTCATTGCACTTATTGTCAATAAACTATTAACACAAAATAGAACATCCTGATACAATACAAAATTTATTGTCATGGAGTATAAAATCCACAACAAATGAATTTGTTGAATTGGTGTTCTTTGATATTTAACAACTTCAACATTGACCATGAATATTTCTGGTATCTAAAATAAACCTAATTTTAGCTGAAAATTAAAGAACAATACAGAAGACATAATGAGAGGATGACTTTTTTTTAGCATTCATCAAACTTATTATGCTACAAAAAATTGACAAAAATGGAAGAAAGAGGTAGACTTTAAGCATTTAAAATTATGTGCATTGCTTTTTATTTTTCACATTAACCATTGAAGATCCATAACTCACTGAAATAGATTTACTAAAATAGCAACTTACTTTACACCAAATAGTTATCAGCTGAAAAACTTCATAGTGATCACACAATAAAAACGAGAACAGTTTGGCAGATCAAATATCATTAAATGTTGAAATCTGCTTGGTTTTCTGTATCACTTTGCTTGGTTTTCAATCAAAGTGGGATTTAAATTTCAATATACTGCTTAAGACTCAGCTTTATTCTCCATTCTTCTCTACACATTTTTAAAACCGAAGCACTGAGCTAAATTCACCATCATAAACTGAAGCTTTCCCCACAGCCACAAGTTCCTTTGATGTTCGGATTGTTAAACACGAACCCAGATTCTAACTTAGTTTCCTCATAGTCCATTTCTGTGCCTAGTAATGTCAGTTGTGCCTTGGAATCTATCAGCACTCGTACACCTGCAATCGATAAGGAGAGAAGATTGTTTACTGAATTGTTTAAAGTATACTAATTACTAATCAGTTATCAAAATAAATACAAAATGATCATAATACTATGAGAATTTGGATTCTAGTTTGATGTTAACTCTTGATGAACTTGTTTATATGTGAAAATGGCAATGTTTCAAAAAAAGAAATAAGTTCACCTGCAATGGTAGCTGTTGTGTTTATGACAATGGTGAATGGTATGTTACCAAAATACTCAATCATTAAGACTAATCACATCTTATTGTAAAACTAATATATTTCATTATATACACACATAAAACAAGCCCTTGCCCTTGGAATAGTGAATTTCATGAAGAACACATCAGGATCTTTTTTAAAAAGCCAAAAGGGAAGATAACATTTAATTTCAATGCAAACTTATGCCAACATTTTACAAGATCTGGGAACTTATATAATTAATACCCAAATTAGAATATTCACAAAGTTTCCATTTGAGAACAAAAACTTTGAAAGTATAGGACATCTACTTGATCCAAATAATTTGCATACCATCTTGTAGAACCTCTTCATCAAATTTGGCCTTCTGCTTCACATAATCCAATGTATAGGACAGACCATTGCATCCTCTTGTCTTTACACCAATCTTCAGACCCAGCTGGTGGAGAAAAGAATGCAAATGAATAAATCAAACTCATAAAATATCATGTATAACCATTTCTTTTTCCATCCTGGCTTAATTAAAACATTGAACTGTGAAGCATGGTTTAACATGACATGTAAAACCATGACAATAAGGTCTATGCCTACAATACTGGTAAACAATGGCTACCAGTACCAGCCCTAGGATAGTGATGAACAAGATTTATCGGTATACAGTAATGGTAAACCATGGCAATCAGGCCTTGGCCTACAGTGACATATAAAACTATGACAATAAGGTCTATGCCTACAATACTGGTAAACAATGGCTACCAGTACCAGCCCTAGGATAGTGGTGAACAAGATTTATCGGTATACAGTAATGGGAAACCATGGCAATCAGGCCTTGGCCTAGTGACATATAAAACCATGACAATAAGGTCTAGGCCTACAATATTGGTAAACAACGGCTACCAGTACCAGCACTAGGATAGTGGTGAACAAGATTTATCAGTATACAGTAATGGTAAACCATGGCAATCAGAACTTGGCCTATATAGCTACAGTGACATATAAAACCATGACAATAAGGTCTAGGCCTATAATATTGGTAAACAATGGCTACCAGTACCAACCCTAGGATATTGGTGAACAAGATTTATCAGTATACAGTAATGGTAAACCATGGCAATCAGGCCTTGGCCTAGTGACATATAAAACCATGACAATGAGGTCTAGGCCTACAATACTGGTAAACAATGGCTACCAGTACCAGCCCTAGGATAGTGGTGAACAAGATTTATCACTATACAGTAATGGTAAACCATGGCAATCATGGCTTGGCCTACAGTGACATAAGCGATTGGCAATAAGGCCTATAATTCTGGTTATCAATTGCTCAACAGTAAATGATTTATGATATAAACAATTGCTATTACTAGTCTACAGTAAATGACTAATGATAAACAATGGTAATCGGGCTATGATCTACAGATATGGTAAACAATGGCAATCAGGAGTAGCCTTAAAGTAACAGTAAACAATGGTACTTCGGCCAAAAGACAAGAGGCATAGAGTCACATAAAACAGGTTTAACTGTATGTAGTTACTCTAAGCAAAAGAAACAGGTTTTGGCTTACCACATCTGGTTGTTCTTGTGTTAGCGCTTTTATTTTATTAACAGCAGCTTGTGTCTAAAAAAAATAAAAAATACAAATCAATAAAATTGCCATGAATATTTCGCCCATGGCCTTCAATAAAGATAACAATTTAAAAGCAAGAGTCAATGACCCAGAGATACCTGTAAATCAAATTAAAACAAAACCATTTAATCAGAACACAGGTCATGATCAGGGGAGGTCATTTCTACTTGTAGGCTATTAGATATTAGGTTTGAGCTAGTGAACATTTTCTTTCACTTTTTCCTATAAAAATTAATATAAATACTGGTTGGCTAGTTGTTTATCTACCTGCTGGCTAGGATTAAAATATGAAACTGAACACCACTGCATAGGGGATCTATACTGCATCTAACACGTTGAGAAAAAATCTGAATATCTGTTAGACATTTTGTACTTGTTAACAATTATACATTTTCTTTGCAAGCCAGACTGTAATTAAGTTAGCTATGGCTGCATGTGACTCTCAAATTGATTGAATTATAGGTATATATTCATGCTAATTTAACATGCTGCTGCAGGCAGGCACCCATCAAGACATTGACCTAAGCTCGCTCAACATTGCTGAACTAGCTAGTGAACAAGTCCCTGGGTTATGTATCACATTGCTAGAAAAGTTAGCTTGCATTTGCCAGTAAGGCAGTATTTTCCCGTCATATTCATTGGCTGTTAATTATATAACAGGTTCGAGTTGTGGCCAAATTGTTAATTTTCATGATTAAATGCTTAAGAAATTAATTCTAGCTCCATTGTCTATGTAACAGGAGCGGAAAAAATCATGGCCAGACTGGGATTTGAACCCAGGACCCTTTGAATTCTAGAGACACTCTCCCAATTGATCTACCTGGTCGCTAGCAATGGACCCATTCCAGTTCCGCTACATACCTCCCTCCTTTTTCTAAAACTACCCCTACCAAGTTGAAGACATCACTTTTTACAACCCATCGCTCCAGTACAGGAGAAGAGATCCATCGAACTCTAGACAGATGCTCTATTAGTCTAACCAATCGAACTAACTGGTCTCAAACAATCAACCCATTCTAGTTCCGCTACATTCCTCTATCCTTTTAGAAAGTTGACCCAGAAGTCACGAGACCCTTAAGGCTACACTTCCTCCTGTTGGTATTTTTTTCTGCATCAAATGCAACAGGAGAAGAAAAATGCATGACTAGACAGGGATTCGAACCCAGGAATCTCCAAACACTAGACAGATGCTCTAACAATTGCCCGGCCACTGGCAATCAAACTATTTCACAGGTTCCTCTACGTCTTGGAAGTTCTACATATATAATTCATTCTTAATTACATATTTGTATGTATACATCAACAATAAGTCAAAATGTCAACTTTTATTTTATCAGTAACTTTACATTGTGATGACTTATAATATACCGAACAATCAACATAACCAACAAGTTGCAATAATCAACCTCTTGTGCTGATCTGAGACTTGAACATCATGACAAATTTGCTAAGGAAGACCAAACTTTCGACATTACATAATTAAGTGCTGAAAGTTTCGACTGATATATGTTGTTGTAATGTTTCCTTTAACCAACGAATGATTTTGAGAAATCAGAAAACGTATTATTAAAGTGTTCTTATAAAGATAAGGATGCTCGTGAAACTGAGACCAGAAAATGACGTTTCTCATTTTATCGAGTGCCGGTACTGTAGGCCTAAGCTTAAGTATATCTATAGGTGGTACGGAACGACTGTAATTCTAGCTATATATAAATTTATATCATAAGAATCAGTACAAAGCATACAATTTGGGTTACTAAACTTAATTTCAGGTGCTGTACGTGACGTTATACAATATCTTTTAGTGGTGTACGTGACACTACATCTGCAACGCAGTTATGAAATGACCTTGATCAACATAATTTCTTCAGTTTTCACGTGTCGTTTCAATTTAATTCAATATACATAATACTGTGGTAGCCAATTTTAGTTATTAGTAAATAACTCAGCAACTTACCAAAACGAGTGGAGCTCTTGTAGGAATCATACGCTTTTTACTAACTGCTCGAACAGTAGCTCCAACAGCCCTGGCGGCCATGATGGTTGTTGTTACTTATTTGGTATTACTTCACCCATGAAGTAATCCATCGAACGAATTTTGTAAAACGTACTGCAAATCCACAAAAAAACCCATTATTTTAAAGTTAAAAGATGTTGTCAAAATTAGAATTTTACTAACAATATCAAATAATAACATAAAATAACAATTTTGAAAAATTACTTGGAAATAGGTTATCAAGTGAACTAAATGCACACTTGTATTGGACACATTCAAATAAATATTTACCAAAGTTCCGGCTGTGACAACGACAACAACAGCAACAGTTTTGTCTGTCGGGATAAGAGTAACGTCAGAAATATAATGATATTTAGCATCTTTAATCTGTCTGCTGTCCATCTATCAACATTTTTTTTAAATGCTACTTCACAGTCCAGGATGGCTTAGAGGACTCTCAGGCCAATTAAGGGAACTCACTAAGTTATAGATCTTTACATTTTCTTCGTTTAGTCCGTCAATAAACATGCCAACCAGATTTTTTTTTTATAATCCAACAACTAGAACTAAACACATGGACATTTTCAAATTGGAAGCCTGCATTGGTAACTTAGTAAAATTTCTGGGTCTAATTGTGCTACACTGATTGGTCCTTGGGGTCCATCCCTAGCCCTAGCGACTTAGATTCCCACCTGACTACAATATATACAAACACAATATTGTTACTAGAATTACCCTGCCTTTTGTAACTTTCAAGTCCCAAGAGCCATTAAACGGGGAAAGCAGGGTAATGAGATCAACTTCATAAAACTAAACGTGTGTTTGCTAGTTAAGGCATGAAGAGATGAATCCACTCAAATCATCAATATCATGCTACCAGGATTAGCTTAAGGGTCTGGGAACCCCCTTGAAACTTAGTCCCTTGGTCATAACATAAATGGTAACAGTTCAGATCCCTCCCTATCACCAATAGATAAAACCATATTTTCAATGAAACAATTTACTTCGGTCCCTTTGACCTAGGAATCAATTGTTATATGAAGCTGGGACAGTATATGTTATATATATATATTATCCATTATACGTACCTGTATGAAGGAATAATAGCTTCCGTAGATGCTAAGCACAAAACGGGGTACATTTTTTAATTGGTCGTTTAATTACTAAGTACCTGAAAGTCTACTTCTCCTGAACATATTGAACATATTTCAACCAAATTTACTATAAAGCATTCTTGGGACCAGGAAAACAGATTTATAAAGTTTAGGTGTTGCCCCCCTGGATGCTGATAGACTGAGTCAAAATAAGGAAATATTTACAGTATGAGATTTAACAGCTAGGTGGGTAATACAGGCCCTCTGGGTTCTTGTTGAAGTGTAAATGGAAAAAAGCAATGACCTGAAACTGGGATTTGTACCAAGGACCTCCCGGCTCCAAACTCTAGATGGGCACTCTTACCAACTGAGCTACCTGGTCACTTGTGATCACTCTAGCAGCTGAAATAAATATCTCTTGAAAATGTTTAGATAGGATGAAGCAATAATACATTTTCAAAAGGATAGTCAGTTATTTTGGGCTACCCAGCAGTCCAGCTACATTCCTGTCCCTCCTTCAACAAACTCTTCATTCCTGAAAATATATTCAGTACCCAGATCCCTATGGAGGCACCAATGTAACTGAGGATGCCTTTTCTTCAAGTGCATCTGAGAGGGGTTTAACCTGTGACCTCATATTACTAATGTATAGTGTTCTACCCATTGTTTTCCCAAATCACTCTAGCCAAGTAAGTAATAGGTGCTATATCAAATGTTGTGTAGAACTATGTTCTGGGGACTCTTCTGGATTTTTACCCTCAATTGTGTGAACTTTTCAAAATCATTCCAGTTTTGCTTAGTTTGAAATTGTTGAATTATAAAGCTTACAGTAGAAGAATTATATTAAAGCAGGCTAATGTATACATTTTGTTTTTGGAACCAAACTTGTACAACTCCTGATATGTAATTGGGTTTTTTACCTGGAAAATCTACACAAATTATGACATCTAAATTGATCAAATATTACAATATATATATATTTTTAAAATAACGCGTTTTTGTGTCCTCAAGATGCTTTCAGTTTAAATGTTTGATTAAGGAATATTCCCCGGTATTTTATCCGAAATATATGGTGCATATATGTCCCCACTCATGATAACTTAGCCTGAGGGTCTATATGTTTTAGATACCCAAGTTTGAAAAGCAGCATCGGTAACCATTTTATTGTTTGTTGCATTTCATGCTTCTTATCAATGTTAGAATTGCAATACATAATAGGATTAGTAACAGAAAACAAAATGCCTGGTGTTTTTTTCTCTCAATATTTTATTCCTGTACAAACATTATTTTTTTAGTTGCAACAAATACAGATTTGAGTCAGTGAATTGAATTATATCATAAATAAATATTATTGATCAAAAGCACTTTCAAAAATAACTGTCATTACAACTACCTGTTATTTATAGAAAAAGACAAAATTGTGCATAGGTGATGATCATTTTGATGATAAGGTTACACCATGTTAAAAAATATTGTTTTACATCCATAACAACAGATGCCAATATTATATAAAAACTATACATCCTATGATTGCTTTGTTATTTTACATTTGACACTAGGTGTAAAATTAGAATATTAAAAATATTGATAAACAACATGTATATGATTTAAGTGAACTTTAACATGTGAAAAACTAAGTGTACATAACAAAAAAAAAAAGCTGGTGTATTTACTAGGGATAAATACAATGTCCTACTTTACAAATAACTAAATAATACATGCAAGTGTATTCTTGTATTACTGTACCTTACAAAAGAATATTTGGCAATAAAACATGGTTCCAAGCTTACTAAATCTCTTTTTAATTTCTGTTCCAGTTTATGCAGTGAATACAACTTCTTTGTATGTATGTGAGGGCAGGTAATCCCTCAAATGGCAAAAGAAAAGCGAAAAATGAGATATGTACAAAGATAGAAAGTTACCTTTCCAGCATTACTACAGGTAAGCTCTGATATACCCTGGTACTTGTATAAGATGTGTAGGGCATAGATGATGATTTAATAAAAATTATTGACTGGTAAGACTGATAAGGCAGATTATGTTAACTATGGAAGTATACTATACTGAAGTGTTAAGTGTTGTCATTACCTTAATAAAACTACGAACTGAATAGGTGTCAGCTGTCTCATGCAACACTAATATCTTCAAAAAAATGAAAAACAACCGTTACAAAGTCATTTTTTTCCCCAATTAAATAGTGACAAATTTCCAATAGCACAATGGGCCTGACAACATTTGATTGTAGCTCAAAAGGTCCAACAAAAATAAAATGTCAGTGAAGTAATATTGATATTCTATGCTGGAAGCTCATTTTCAAACAGCTTGTCTAAATGTTGGGTAAGGAGCCAGCAACAATTAGGACTAAGTCATTCAAAACCTGACACGCATAAAAACAAGTCAACATAAATCTTTCACTCAGCATAGTCTTCAGAAATATTAACGTTCCAAACTAAAACTAGGAATTAATAATCATCAACTGAAGCCAAAAATTATTTTTTATAATTTTCATGATTCTCAAAAACATTACTTTGAACATATGCAATAATTTTAAAACAACTTGTTATGCCACAGACTTAGATAATTCCGTGGTTATGCTTATACGATTTTTAACAAGTGGATCTTGGTAATTAGTAGGAAAAAAGGAATTAGTTTAATATTACGATAAAAAATGTTATATCTATTTTAACATAAAAAATAAGTTTTTAGTGCCTTATTAACTACATATATAATCAGATTCATTGACTTTGGTTGGCTTATTACTAAGCATGGGCTTATTGCCAGATAAATATGGTATAATAAATTTGCTTCATTGACTTATTGAATTGGTATTAATTAAAACAATATATACATGTAAATATGTTTATTATACAAGCTCGAAGTATAATTAGAGTCATCTAAGACAGAAATGGTATGTGATAGAAAAGGTTTTTACAACAGATATACATTTAATTTGAAAAGTCGACTGTGAACAATAAAATGTTTTACAGTTCCTGTATTTCTTTACAACTTATATATCCTCAAGCAATCTAATCTATAATACTGTCTGTCTGGCATCAATTATTACAAAAATATTAACTAAAGTACATACTAAGTATGTAATAAGCAAATAATATAGGAAAAACTCTCTTAAAAAATAATTATAAAAATCAACAACACATGTATTGGTTTAGGAATCTAGCTATACAACCAAAATCTGGAGTTAAGCACAACTACATTTGTGAGATTAATTTTCCTCTCGTCAAGATTTTAATTATTAATGATATACAATTTTTCATTGCAGTCTGATAATGAACACAAATCCATGTCAACTGAATGGAAAAGTTATAAGCTTGTATTGTGATGATATATATTACTAAGGACAACATGCATAAGTTTATTTGCTACTTAAAATATATTCGTGCTGGAGTTATCTCCCTTGGGTAACTTTAAACTTGGGTTGCTTTCACGTGGCAAAAATGCATTCTACAAAAGCTTACATACTTGGATTGAAAATGTGCCTTTTACAGGCAGAGCTAGAAATGCATGTTTTTGGAGTTCTGTGACAAACAAATAACAATATTCATATATAAAACTATTATCAACAATTATCACAATAACATGTCCTTCTTTCATGTGTGCACTAATTTTCATAACATTTCCTAAAATTTCCATGTAAATCAACATTGTTTTATGCAGAAAGAGAAACAGAATTTTAATTTTGGTCAGGTATTTCTCATACCTCAGACAGAGATATCCCACGTTATACCCCATGCTAGATTTTCTATCTCGTCCGATCTGTCTTGTACCTTTACGTGACATTTCGCGTTATTTTTACACTGCAATGTATTCATCCACGCATTAAATGCATTATGAATATTCTGTTTTGTCGTTATATGTATAGTTTTGATGTTGTTAGATATTTGATGTTGTAGATAAAATATAATCTACACTGTGAAATATGTTGTAATCTATGCAAGGACGGACTACATTTTTACACGGAAGCATTCAAATGTGGCTTTAGTAGTGAAGATGTCATTATCATTTTAGCCCCAAGGCGGGATACTTGAATAGTTCTATTGAAAAAATTCAATTACCTGTAACTGAGCGAGATCGGGTTATCTCATTCTCGGGCTAAGATTCTTAAACATCCTAACCCCAGCTTACGCCTCAGTTTGGATTCTGTTACAGAATCTTAACCCTTGACTGAGATAACCCGATCTCGCTCAGTTACAGGTAAAAGATTTTATTAGTCTGGACCCCTTGATATGCATTTGTCAAATTTTTTCCATAGGGTTGATTCAGATCTGAGCCTGCTGTTTTATTTCAGGTCCAGCTGGTCGAAATGGTTGAACTGGAAACGTGAAAGGGGCAACACATTATTGAATAATTACGGGTTACCAGAGTTAATAATGATTGCGAATTTTTCATATCTGTGAGTGATTCATTATAACTAAGTCCAAAGCTCAATTCATGAACAAAGTATTAAAGTAGCATATATCCATAAGCATTAAAGTGAAATGATGAAAATATTCACAAACTGATACATCCAACACAGATTTCACATTTGATACTGTGACAAACTCTATAACGATATCATTTAATAACCTGTAGGTACTTCACATCTGTAAAATGTGTTCCAGGCAGTAACGATGTTAACAGACCTTTTAGATACACTGTACTTAACACGGCATTGTTACACTAAAACTATCAATTATACATAAAACATACAGAAATACTAAGGCACTCTGCATACAATACTATAATACGTATGGCTTCCCAAAAATAATCTGAGAACATTGTAATTACACAAAATGATCAAAGCTTTATCTCGCTGTTCATCTAATTTACCCTTTTATCTCAAATATTACTTACAAAATAATTGTATAAAGTGATATATATCAAATACAACAGACATGAATTTATACATGAAATATGATTAGCCAGTTTTTAACTGAAACTCTAGAGAAATACTTTTTAATGTGATTTTGACGTTCATATCTTTTGATAATGACAAAAAATATGTCAATACCCAATATAAGAGTATATAATTTATAAAAAATATTAGTACATATGTCTTTACAATAAATAGTATATGGCAATATTTATGACTTAATGTGAACTAGTAATGTTGAAATTCTTCAAAATATAACAACAGACTCTTCAAATCAATCATAAAGGTTCGTCCAGTGCAGTTAGTATGCTAATCATGCACAATGTCCACTGTTCAGTAAGTATGCTTACCATGCACACTGTCCACTGTTAAGTAAGTATGCTTACTATGCACACTATCCACTGTTCAGTAAGTATGCTTACCATGTCCGCTGTACAGTAAGTATGCTTACCATGCACTCTGTACACTGTTCACTGTTCAGTAAGTATGCTTACCATGTCCGCTGTACAGTAAGTATGCTTACCATGCACTCTGTCCACTGGTAAGTAAGTATGCTTACTATGCACACTGTCCAATGTTCAGTAAGTATGCTAACCATGCACTCTGGCCACTGGTCAGTAATTATGCTTACCATGCACACTGTTCACTGTTCAGTAAGTATGCTTACCATGTCCACTGTACAGTAAGTATGCTTACCATGCACACTGTCCACTGTTAAGTAAGTATGCTTACCATGCACACTGTCCACTGTTCAGTAAGTATGCTTATCATGCACTCTGTCCACTGTTCACTGTTCACTGTTCAGTAAGTATTCTAACCATGCACTCTGTCCACTGTTCAGCAAGTATGCTTACCATGCACACTGGCCACTGTTCAGTAAGTTTGCTTTCCATGCACACTGTCCACTGTTAAGGAAGTATGCTTACTAAGCAAACTGTCCACTGTTCAGCAAGTATGCTTACCATGTACACTGTCCAATGTACAGTAAGTATGCTTACCATGTACTCTATCCACTGTACAGTAAGTATGCTAAACATGCACTCTGTCCACTGTTTAGTAAGTATGCCTACCATGCACACTGTCCACTGTGCAGTAAGTATGCTTACCATGCCCACTGTCCACTGTTCAGTAAGGATGCTAACCATGCACACTGTCCCCTGTTCAGTAAGTATGCTTACCAGGCACACTGTCCTCTGTTCAGTAAGTATGCTAACGATGCACTCTGTCCTCTGTTCAGTAATTATGCTTACCATGCACGCTGTCCACTGTTAACAACAGACTCTTCAAATCAATCATAAAGGTTCGTCCAGTGCAGTTAGTATGCTAAGGAGGCACAATGTCCACTGGGGGGGGGGTAGGCTTACCATGCACACTGTCCACGGTTCAGTAAGTATGCTAACCATGCTCTCTGTCCACTGTTCAGTAATCATGCTAACCATGCACTCTGTCCACGGCTCAGTAAGTATGCTTACCATGACCACTGTCCACTGGACAGTAAGTATGCTAACCATGCACACAGTCCACTGTTCAGTAAGTATGTTAACCATGCACACTGTCCACTGTTCAGGAAGTATGATTACCATGCACTCTGTCCACTGTTTAGTAAGTATGCCTACCATGCACACTGTCCACTGTGCAGTAAGGATGCTTACCATGCACACTGTCTTAGTATGCTAATCATGCACAAGGTCCACTGTTCAGTAAGTATGATAACCATGCACACTGTCCACTGTTAAGGAAGTATGCTTACCATGCACACCGTCCACTGTATAGTAAGTATGCTTACCATGCGCACTGTCCTCTGTTCAGTAAGTTTGCTTACGATGCACACTGTCCACTGTTAAGGAAGTATGCTTACTATGCACACTGTCCCCCGTCCAGTAAGTATGCTAACCATGTACGCTGTCCACTGCTCAGTAAGTATGCTTACCATTTACTCTGTCCACTGTACAGTAAGTAAGTATGCTTACCATGCACTGGGACCACTGTTCAGTAAGTATGCTAACGATGCACTCTGTCCTCTGTTCAGTAAGTATGCTTCCCATGCACACTGTTCACTGTTCAGTAAGTATTCTAACCATGCACTATGTCCACTGTTCAGTAAGTCTGCGTACCATGTACACTGTCCACTGTACAGTACGTATGCTTACCATGCACTCTGTACACTGTTCACTGTTCAGTAAATATGCTTTCCATGTCCACTGTACAGTAAGTATTCTTACCATGCACACTGTCCACTGTGCAGTAAGTATGCTTACCATGTACACTGTCCAATGTACAGTAAGTATGCTTACCATGCACACTGTCCACTGTTCAGTAAGTTTGCTTACCATGCACACTGTCCACTGTTAAGTAAGTATGCTTACTATGCACACTGTCCACTGTTCAGTAAGTATGCTTACCATGCACACTGTCCACTGTTCAGGAAGTATGCTTACCATGCACTCTTTCCACTGTTCAGTAAGTATGCTTACCATGTACACTATCCACTGTTCAGTAAGTATGCTTACCATGCACTCTGTCCACTGTTCAGTAAGTATGCTTACCATGTACACTATCCACTGTTCAGTAAGTATGCTTACCATGTACACTGTCCACTGTACAGTAAGTATGCTAACCATGCACTCTGTCCACTGTTCAGTAAGTATGCTTACCATGTACACCATCCACTGTTCAGTAAGTATGCTTACCATGTACACTATCCACTGTTCAGTAAGTATGCTTACCACGTACACTGTCCACTGTACAGTAAGTATGCTTACCATGTACACTGTCCACTGTACAGTAAGTATGCTAACCATGCACTCTGTCCACTGCTCAGTAAGTATGCTTACCATGTACACTGTCCACTGTACAGTAAGTATGCTAACCATGCACTCTGTCCACTGTACAGTTAGTATGCTTACCATGCACACTGTTCACTGTTCAGTAATTATGCTAACCATGCACTCTGTCCACTGTTCAGTAAGTATGCTAACCATGCACTCTGTCCACTGTACAGTTAGTATGCTAACCATGCACTGTCCACTGTTCTGTAAGTATTCTAACCATGCACTCTGTCCACTGTTCAGTAATTATGCTTACCATGCACATTGTTCACTGTTCAGTAAGTATGCTTACCATGCACGTCCACTGTACAGTAAGTATGCTTACCATGCACACTGTCCGCTGTTCAGTAAGTATGCTAACCATGCCCTCTGTCCACTGTTCAGTAATTATGCTTACCATGCACACTGTCCACTGTTCAGTAAGTATGCTAACCATGCACACTGCTCACTTTTCAGTAAGTATGCTTACCATGCACTCTGTCCACTGTTTAGTAAGTATGCTTCCCATGCACACTGTCCACTGTTCAGTAAGTATGCTAACCATGCCCTCTGTCCACTGTTCAGTAAGTATGCTTACCATGCACACTGTCCGCTGTTCAGTAAGTATGCTAACCATGCACTCTGTCCACTGTTCAGTAAGTATGCTTACCATGCACACTGTCCACTGTACAGTAAGTATACTAACTATGCACTCTGTCCACTGTACAGTTAGTATGATAACCATGCACACTGTCCACTGTACAGTAAGTATGATAACCATGCACACCTGTCCACTGATGGGAGATAACTCTGACCACACTATAATCCACTCGCACATAAAGGGGATTTTCATGATTGATACAACCATTCTGTAAAAATGACACAAGTATGAAACAAAAACTCATATCAGACTAGATACACTGTGATGTACTGTAGTCATTAAGACTAACGTATACAAACTAAGTAAAAACCATCCTGTCACTCAATAAACCATGTGTTACAAAGATATATTTTCTGCAGAAAGTCACTGTATAAACAAATTATTTTAATCTAGATAGTTCTTGAAAAATAGGTGAAACTTCAAATTAATCCTTTCAAGCAAATTAAAAGTGATACTGTCCTTAACCTAAGGTTATGATAAGTTTACAAAAATATTGACTTACAAACATTTAATTACAAACTGAGATTGTTAGCTACCTTCCTGAAATTTAACTGATTTTTCAACAACATATGAACTATCCTTGTCAGTGGGTACAACAATTGCTCCCTTCAAAAGGGAGGTAATCTGATCAATCTGCGAGTCTCTGTAGGCAGCCTCCCGTTTGGAGGTGCCACGAGTGCCATTCTCCATACTGATAACATTATCTCGCTGGCTAGTCCAGGGAGAATTAATGGTGGAATCCACATCCCGATCAGAAAATTCCTCAGCCGTAGGAATGCTTATGGCTAGACCTGTGCTCCCCGGACTGATAGTACGCAAGTCAGGTTGTGGGGACGGGGGAGGTGGCTCCACTTCCTCCTCCTGTTTAGGGGGACTGATATCAGGGATATCTGGGGAGGGTGCAGGTGCTGGCTGGTGGATTTCCTCAGGTACAGGTATATTTTGTTGTCCTACTTGTCGTATGGCCTCATCAGTGTAGGACTGAGCTAGATACGATTCCTTTAGTGGGCTGGAATGAGGAGCTGGGGGTGGGGGGTTCGGGTTACGAATCTGCGATGTGATCTGAATGAACTCTGTCTCCCCTCGTGTGCCATACAAATTAAAAGAGGACGGTGTGTTGTAGGTGTGGAGAGGTTTTGGCGGGGTCGGCCTACTGTGGTACTTGGCACTGCCCCGTTCACTCCCGACACGACTTGACCTGCTGGTGGAGGAGGCAGACTTTTCTCGTCCTGCTATAATTCCCGACGACGGTCCAACGATTAAATCTGATGGTGTGTTCTTTGAGACATAGGGAGGTGATACCGGTTTAGACTTCGGTGTGGTGATCCTTAGAGGTTCCACACTTATAACAGAATCAGATTCATTATTTTTGGCAGTATTCCTTGACATGTCCCCAGAAGGGGTGCGAGCACAAGTCCTCGGACTGTCCTGTAGTGTACTGATGTCCATGTCACTGACACTGTCAGTGGGGGCCTTGTTACCATTGAACTTTTTCTGGAGCACGTCGTCAACTGACAGCCCCTGTAGCTTGGTCTCCTCCTGTGATGACTTCTGGTCAATTGTTATCACCATGATCTTTTCATCCTCTTGACCATCAAGACTTTGCCTGGATTTCTTCCTGTGCTTGATTTTAAATCCCTCTGGCGGCTTTGGTTGGTTTTGTTTTGTCGATTTCTTGGTCAGATTAGGACGCCTCAACTCGTCTTTCTCATGTGTGAAAAATACTGGGTGAGTTTCACTCATCACCTACAAAACATTATCAAAAGTATTATTTATAGCTGTGCAGCAATGTAATGTGTAAGTCACTGCTAAATACTGTAAAAGGGGAAGTTTTCGCGGTGTTGAAATGCTTGTGTTTTCGTGTTGAGTAAATTAGCGTGAAACTATCCACACCCAAATATATATTTATAGATTATATATATTGAGAACATAAAGATTTCAGAACCACTGCTAATGCGAAAATTTGCTCACCACAATCTGTTTAAAGATATCAGTCACAATGCGAACATTTCCAAATGCGAGAAAATTTCCCCTTTTACAGTATCACCAGACAGGCCTGTGCAATATATGACCATTGATAAGTTGTCAAACTAGTACTGATTACTTGAAAAGAATCCGAACTGGAAACTGGCAACTGGTTAATTGTTCAATTTTACAACATTTGTCAAGTGAGTTATCTCCCTTATGTTATTATGTTTACCATGGTCATTGTCATCACATTACAACAACTACCCAACACCAAAACCCTGGGGGTTGGATACATGCTGTTTCATTGTCAGTACATTCTGCACACATGAAGTTATCTAGCTATATCCTCAAACTATGCTGAAATCTATGGAAAACCCCAAAAAGTTCATATCTACAAAAGTAGCCTTTGCAGATTTTCAGACAACTATAATCTATTTGGGGGAGTATGCGAAGCCTGAATGTTTTGTTGGTGGTTTTCTGAATAATGGTATTAATGGGTCAAAATCTGCTTACTGCTGACAAGTCGAAAATATGCAAAAATAAATTTGGATTGATAATTTTTTGTTACAATATCACTAAATGGTAGTTTGTATATCAAAAGAATGGAATGAATAATAATTGATCTAGTAAGTTTACTTCAGTCCTACACACTGACACAATGTCACTTACAGGTTTCGGACCATCGTCTCTCTGTTCCCTGGGGGAGATCACTTTTGATGATGTCAGTTCATCCTCCCAACAAAGGGGGATAACTGTCTTTTCCATGTTTTCTTTATCAGCTCTTTCAAATTCTGTCGACCTGTCAACATCATAAACTAATGGTAAAATCTTGCCACAGCACCTATAGCTGTATAGATCTGATGAACGAATGTTTTGACATGATCAAATATACAGCGTCATACCCAATCAGCCAGTGGTTCCTAAGCAAGTTTTTAGAAAAAAAGAAACAATCAATTTTGAAAATGTGTTAAGTTGAATGCCAGATGAACTCATTTTTCTTTAAGCTTATAGATTAAAAACCTGTATTTCATTTTCCATTGTTTTTACTTTTCTTTGCAATGCTGACAATTACAATGGATGATTGACTGACTACTTACTCTCTGCTAAGACAGCTGTCCTGGCGTTTCACCTTCAAATCGTCAGACTGAATGCGCCCATTGATGCCCACACGAATTTTGTCTCCTTTCTGTAGCTGCTGGGCAACTCGACTTCCAACTCTTCCCTCAATGTTATAGTACTCCTCATCATCTCTTAGTTCTGTAACCAGTAGAGTGAGACATTAACAGGATCACACACAACTTCTCTATATATATTGTTCTACTCCTCATCATCTCTTAGTTCTGTAATCAGTAGAGTGAGACATTAACAGGATCACACACAACTTCTCTATATATATTGTTCTACTCCTCATCATCTCTTAGTTCTGTAATCAGTAGAGTGAGACATTAACAGGATCACACACAACTTCTCTATATATATTGTTCTACTCCTCATCATCTCTTAGTTCTGTAATCAGTAGAGTGAGACATTAACAGGATCACACACAACTTCTCTATATATATTGTTCTACTCCTCATCATCTCTTAGTTCTGTAATCAGTAGAGTGAGACATTAACAGGATCACACACAACTTCTCTATATATATTGTTCTACTCCTCATCATCTCTTAGTTCTGTAATCAGTAGAGTGAGACATTAACAGGATCACACACAACTTCTCTATATATATTGTTCTACTCCTCATCATCTCTTAGTTCTGTAATCAGTAGAGTGAGACATTAACAGGATCACACACAACTTCTCTATATATATTGTTCTACTCCTCATCATCTCTTAGTTCTGTAATCAGTAGAGTGAGACATTAACAGGATCACACACAACTTCTCTATATATATTGTTCTACTCCTCATCATCTCTTAGTTCTGTAATCAGTAGAGTGAGACATTAACAGGATCACACACAACTTCTCTATATATATTGTTCTACTCCTCATCATCTCTTAGTTCTGTAATCAGTAGAGTGAGACATTAACAGGATCACACACAACTTCTCTATATATATTGTTCTACTCCTCATCATCTCTTAGTTCTGTAATCAGTAGAGTGAGACATTAACAGGATCACACACAACTTCTCTATATATATTGTTCTACTCCTCATCATCTCTTAGTTCTGTAATCAGTAGAGTGAGACATTAACAGGATCACACACAACTTCTCTATATATATTGTTCTACTCCTCATCATCTCTTAGTTCTGTAATCAGTACAGTGAGACATTAACAGGATCACACACAACTTCTCTATATATATTGTTCTACTCCTCATCATCTCTTAGTTCTGTGATCAGTACAGTGAGACATTAACAGGATCACACACACATTCTCTCTATATATTGTTCTACTCCTCATCATCTCTTAGTTCTGTAATCAGTAGAGTGAGACATTAACAGGATCACACACATCTTCTCTATATATATTGTTCTACTCCTCATCATCTCTTAGTTCTGTAATCAGTAGAGTGTGACATTAACAGGACTTAAAAATGGGGGATATGACACATATATCCATAAATATGTATTTTTTTTAGGTTCAATAATTCATCAAATACAGAATTATGGTCAGGAAAATCAAATAAAAATGACAGGACAAAGAATTACAATAATACTCATCAAGAGAGGCTTACAAGTATGACATTTCTAAATTGATTTCCATAATCCTGGTTCAAGGACTTGCAATTTAATTTGGTGGTTTTGAAATACATGCATATACAATTATGCCTGCAACTTATACTAATGCCAAAAACATTTAAGCATTTCTCAGAAAGTAAGGACCACAACATTATGATGACTATTACAGTGCACTCGGTCTAAACCTGACACCACTGGGGCCACATTTGGCCGATTTGCAGACACTTGTACAGTCTATTGGTTATGTTTTGTCATTGTTTCAATCAAGTTCCTTTTGATGGTTTAGACAAAATTCTGGATTGTACATGGTCTGGTTTAGACAATGTACTGTATAAGGTTTAGCTCCAAGATCAATTCACCACTGTTCTATATAACAATAAGGAATGGAAGGAAAACACAATCACTTACGAGCAAAGGCATCTATGACACCAGATGTCTCCTCACTGTTGACGCCCCCAAACGTGAGCCAGCCAGCCTCGAGACTCGGTGGAGCGTCTGCCTTCTGCTGTCCTCGTACAAATGTACCTGTGTTTAAGTCGTGACTCCCAGGGTCCCAATGCTCATGGATTTTCTCCGTCAATTTCTTGTGTTCACGGCTGGTCTCCAAATATTCAGCATTTGTGTTTCGATTAATACTCAAGTCTTGTGACAGAAATGAGACTTTTTTAAGATTTCCTGAAAAATGTGAAAAGGTAGTCAAATATCTGAAAAGCGTTAAGTGCAGGTAACATTATATCTGAGACTGATTAGTGCTGAGGATGCATAATACTGAAAATAAATTACCTGTATTTTACAAGTGAAGGTGGCAACTTGTCACTCACTTTATATAGGCAAAAACAGCAGGTGATGTCAAGTAAAAAAAGAAACATTTCACAGTAAATGAGCCTTAGTCAGAAACAAGGTTCTTATCTTATCAAAACTTGTCAATAAAGATTATATAACAGTTAATAAATGTTATTTATGTAGACATCAATAAAAAATCTTGACTGGTATGGCAAACACCAGAACTCACCAGTTGTTTTGGGCCGACGTGTTGAAGAATGGGCTCGGTTTGTGTGTTGTAACGTAGATTGAGACTGTGAGGTCAAAGGTCGACCGTGTACTTCAACTTCAAGAAGAGAAAATAAATCAAATGGAAATGTTTGCAGTCCAAAATCCACATAAGAGGTATCAAGTCATTTAATGATTTTGTGAACATTATAAATTTTCACAATTTGAGTTAGATAACATTATTTTTTCATTTTGCTCAGTTACCATATTAATCCTAATACGAACCTATATCTAATAATAGCCCAAAAAAGTGTGTGATCCCCTTATTTCAGGATGAAAATACAATATACAGAAAAGTATTTTACCTCTTTTCTGATTTCTAAATTAATTCCAATAGCTCAAATTTCAGAGTTCCTGAAGAAAAACCAATGACCTACGGCCAGTTCCTGGCAACTGCCCCACATAGGTCTCGAAACAGCGACCCAGTGGTGGAGGGCTAGTGGTAGCAGAATGTCAGACGCCTTAACCACTTGGCCACCGCGGCCCCCTTATATATTGAAGTGATTATAGTACCTGTAAAGTTATTCTTATTTCTCAAATTTTCAGAGTAACCTACTTCTATTTTGAGGCAACACAGAAACTATACATATAGACCAACAGCAATCATGATAATTGCATAATACAAATGTACACTTAACCGTCAGGTACGAAGGAAGTTTAGAAATACCAAGTAACCAGAGGAAACCGGTGTCCCATGTCACCACTACTGAATACTAGTATACAATTTATATTTTTTATAATTGAAACTTGAAGTTTTAAAATGTCACATCCTACAAATGTTACAATTGTGTGATCACTAAGTTTTTGTATAATTGTAGCTGTGACAGAATGAGACTACTCACTGTTTATCCTCTGTCTCTGGGCAAAGTCGTCCTCCGTCCTCGAGGGGGTTCCATTCCTCCTGTTAGGGGCTGAGGTTATATTCCTACTGTAATCACAAACCATCAACGATCATGATTTAGAAAATGTGTCAGATATAAGTGATTTAGTCTCACCTGAAACATGAACTTTAACCTAATGATCTCAACAGCAATACCATTTACTCTCTCTCATCTTAACAACCATTCATTTTCTGTCCATCACCTACAATTCTTTCTTTCTCCAACACCAACTCTTTATTCCTTGTCACCAACCCTTCATTCTCTCTCCATCACCAACCCTTCATTCTCTCTCCATCACCAACCAGTCATTCTCTCTCCATCACCAACCCATAATTCTCTCTCCATCACCGACCCATCATTCTCTCCATCACCGACCCATAACTCTTTCTCCATCACCGACCCATCATTCTCTCTCCATCACCGACCCATCATTCTCTCTCCATCACCAACCCATAATTCTCTCCCCATCACCAACCCTTCATTCTCTCTCCATCACCAACCCGTAATTCTCTCTCCATCACCGACCCATCATTCTCTCTCCATCACCGACCCAACATTCTCTCTCCATCACCAACCCATAATTCTCTCCCCATCACCAACCCTTCATTCTCTCTCCATCACCATCACCAACCCTTCATTCTCTCTCAATCACCAACCCTTCATTCTCTCTCCATCGCCAACCCATAATTCTCTCTCCATCACCAACCCATAATTCTCCCTCCATCACCAACCCATAATTCTCTCTCCATCACCAACCCATAATTCTCCCTCCATCACCAACCCATAATTCTCTCTCCATCACTAACCCATAATTCTCTCTCCATCACCAACCCATAATTCTCTCTCCATTGCCAACCCATAATTCTCTCTCCATTACCAACCCATAATTCTCTCTCCATCACCAACCCATAATTCTCGCTCCATCACCAACCCATAATTCTCTCTCCATCACCAAGCCATAACTCTTTCTCCATCACCGACCCATCATTCTCTCTCCATCACCAACCCTTCATTCTCTTTCCATCACCAACCCTTCATTCTCTCTCCATCACCATCACCAACCCTTCATTCTCTCTCAATCACCAACCCTTCATTCTCTCTCCATCGCCAACCCATAATTCTCTCTCCATCACCAACCCATAATTCTCGCTCCATCACCAACCCATAATTCTCTCTCCATCACCAACCCATAATTCTCGCTCCATCACCAACCCATAATTCTCTCTCCATCACCAACCCTTCATTCTCTCTCCATCCCCAACCCATAATTCTCTCTCCATCACCAACCCATAATTCTCGCTCCATCACCAACCCATAATTCTCTCTCCATCACTAACCCATAATTCTCTCTCCATCACCAACCCATAATTCTCCCTCCATCACCAACCCATAATTCTCTCTCCATCACTAACCCATAATTCTCTCTCCATCACCAACCCATAATTCTCGCTCCATCACCAACCCATAATTCTCTCTCCATCACTAACCCATAATTCTCTCTCCATCACCAACCCATAATTCTCCCTCCATCACCAACCCATAATTCTCTCTCCATCACCAACCCATAATTCTCCCTCCATCACCAACCCATAATTCTCTCTCCATCACTAACCCATAATTCTCTCTCCATCACCAACCCATAATTCTCTCTCCATCACCAACACTTCATTCTCTCTCCATCACCAACCCATAATTCTCTCTCCATATCACCAACCCTTCATTCTCTCTCCATCACCAACCCGTAATTCTCTCTCCATCACCGACCCATCATTCTCTCTCCATCACCGACCCAACATTCTCTCTCCATCACCAACCCATAATTCTCTCTCCAACACCAACCCATAATTCTCTCTCCATCACCAACCCATAATTCTCCCTCCATCACCAACCCATAATTCTCTCTCCATCACTAACCCATAATTCTCTCTCCATCACCAACCCATAATTCTCCCTCCATCACCAACCCATAATTCTCTCTCCATCACCAAGCCATAACTCTTTCTCCATCACCGACCCATCATTCTCTCTCCATCACCGACCCAACATTCTCTCTCCATCACCAACCCATAATTCTCTCTCCATCACCAACCCATAACTCTTTCTCCATCACCGACCCATCATTCTCTCTCCATCACCAACCCATAATTCTCTCTCCATCACCAACCCTTCATTCTCTCTCCACCACCGACCCATAATTCTCTCTCCATTACCAACCCATAATTCTCTCTCCATCACCAACCCATAATTCTCTCTCCATTACCAACCCATAATTCTCTCTCCCCCCTTCATTCTCTCTCCATCACCAACCCTTCATTCTCTCTCCATCACCATCACCAACCCTTCATTCTCTCTCAATCACCAACCCTTCATTCTCTCTCCATCGCCAACCCATAATTCTCTCTCCATCACCAACCCATAATTCTCTCTCCATCGCCAACCCATAATTCTCTCTCCATTACTAACCCATAATTCTCTCTCCATCACCAACCCTTCATTCTCTCTCCACCACCGACCCATAATTCTCTCTCCATTACCAACCCATAATTCTCTCTCCATCACCAACCCATAATTCTCTCTCCATCGCCAACCCATAATTCTCTCTCCATTACTAACCCATAATTCTCTCTCCATCACCAACCCTTCATTCTCTCTCCACCAGTGACCCATAATTCTCTCTCCATTACCAACCCATAATTCTCTCTCCATCACCAACCCATAATTCTCTCTCCATCACCAACCCTTCATTCTCTCTCCATTACCAACCCTTCATTCTATCTCCATCACCAACCCTTCATTCTCTCTCCATCACCAACATATCATTCTCTCTCCATCACCAACCCTTCATTCTCTCTCCATTACCAACCCTTCATTCTCTCTCCATCACCAACCCATACTTCTCTCTCCATCACCAACATATCATTCTCTCTACATCACCAACCCTTCATTCTCTCTCCATCACCAACCCTTCATTCTCATTCCATCACTGGCCCTTCATTCTCTTTTCATCACCAACCCTTCATTTTATTTTCTTCATCTCTTCTTCATTCTCTGTCAATTCCCAACCCTTCCGTTTCTCTCTATTAATAGTCTTTGTATGAATATTCTGTTTGTATTTACACTGTGTTCAGTATAGCCTTATGTACATGCATGTAAGTCTGACCAAATGTAAGATGAGTCGTTGACTTAACTTTGTCATCAAGTATAGATTTGACATGTGTATCTCAAGCAATTTTGATTCTTTATTGCATGGTAGGAAATTATAATTTAACAAGTCTGGATTATATGTGTGACCTGGTTATTCCTATGTACTGGAAAAGAAATCTTGGTACAAATAGAAAAGTTTTTTTTACAGATTTCATGATAAGAAATACATTTATTACATTTTTGCCAGTGAAATATCGGATTCTATCAATTGATAAAATTGACATCTTTCACACTGTGACAAATATCAAAAGTGATATTTTCACAGTGTGAAAATATCACTTTTTAGTATTGACCAATCATACCGGTATCTTCTATTCGCTGCATTCAAAGGCAACGATATTATGTCACAGATTCACATGAAGCGACGGTAAAATAAGTGGTTGTTATGGTAAATGTTTGGTACACAGACTTAAGTATTTACATATTTATACCAGTAATGGCATTTTTATAAGCAATCATACCTGAAAATAGCAGAAAACTTTGAAATTGCGTTGAGAATGCCACTCAAAATGGCGCACAGCCTAGTTGTCAAGCGTGACGTCATTAGAATATGGCGCTAATAATTACGCTTCTGATTCCCGCCCTTTTTTAATGCATTAATCAAAATATTAGCCACACTCGTGAAATATATTTGTTATTACTGAAGACACCATTAAATATCCTCTATATATTGGGAATTTGCATGTTATCAACTTTGTGAGTAATATAATTTATTTTAGCCAAAATTTCAAACGATAAATCTATTGTCCTAAAGACTATGATGTACTGACCTGGGCCTTGTGTAGAGGTTGTGAATGAGTTTGTGCTGCTCTGTGATGATATCTGTGGTGGACCGTGAACGGTACGTCCGTGTCCCGCTCACATCAATATCCACAGTACGACACGACAACACAGGCTGAGCAGGGGTGTACCTCAATCTGCTCTCAAGTTCCCCAAGGGGGCGTTTCTGTAAAAACAAGTTAAAAGAATATTTATTGAAACATAAAATTCAAATAACATCTGTTCAACACATGTGTAAAACACTGCAATAAAATTGAAACATAATAAAACACATGCGTCAATATGTTAATACCTTCGCACATTCATTTCCTGGAGTAATAAAAATACAGCAAGTAATGAAAAATATTTCCAATATTGTGCTTATCTTGAAGATACAAGTCCATGTAGATGTTCACTAAATTGTAATTCTGTACCTAAGATTAAATTATGGCATATTGATAATCTTTTAATGCCACCTCCGATATTGTAATACACCTCTCCCTATAATAAAGCAGTGTATAGACGGGGAAGACTTGTGAAATATACCTCTTTGTCCCATAAAGTTTTTGTAATAATACGAAAGGCATTTGATGTTTAACAGTGGCAAACCTGATACACAGACAAACTTGTTCACAAAGGCAGAACAAGATTTCCCTGTAAATATTAAACATATTCTATTGATGAAAAGTCACATACAAAATATGCTATCAAACCAGCCAGGCAGATCTATCACCTTGAGAAGCCTCTTAAACATGTGTTTCACGGCGCCACACAGGGACCCAACTATACGACACAAACTTCATTGCATGAATCACAAGGAAATAATGACCATCAAGATAGCGTTACATGACCACTTTTAAAGATATCAAACACAAATTATGTTTTGGGATCAAATCATTCCAATATTACCTGTTTAATGTGAAAATTTGTCCATTGCACAAAATCGTCCCGATGCCTTACGACCCTTGAGTTATGTTGAGATTTCTTGCCTGTTTTGATTACCCTAGGTATTTATATATGGGTGACGGACCAATACAAGTGTATTGATGCCTCCACTTACGCCATCACAAATTATTCTCAGGCAAATGAAAACAACACCCTAATACATAAAGGAGAAGGAACAAAATATCTTCATTCACACTTTTGTTCCATACAGAAGATCAACGACTTTCATACAGAAGATCAACGACTTTCATACAGAAGATCATCGACTTTCACACAAAAGTTGAGTTCCATGATTAAGGTTAAATATCTGTAAATTATTAAGAATCACACACCTGTGACAAATTAAAATATTTGTTTGACTTCTAAAGCAATTGATGCAGTGTTTAAGACGTTTCGGCTATGGTGATTGGTGGTCTGTTGCTCTAGCCGTAATGGACTTACATTATCCTGGCTGTACTTGTTGTATTTACTTCTTTGGTAATAAATTAAGCCGCAGAAATCCCTATAGTCAACCCTGAATATCCTTATCAAAACAGTAACAGAGAGAAACCTAACCTTTTGTATGTTCTGATTGATTTACTACACAGAAATAAAAAAAAAATCCTCTTATTAAATCCAGTTAAACCTCTTCAGAGACAAATTCAATCAAAATCAATTTGTTCCGCTATTTTTCAAATGCTGATTCCTGAACACCCCTCGTTATACAAGACTACTTATCTCTCCTATAATAAATTCAATTAAAGCAGGCTTTAATTTCAGTCTAAGGAAGAAAGTACAGCGTTCTTTATTGCTTTAATGGTTTTGGAAATTGTTTACAAAATTCTATAAACTTTTCTGGTCCTAGAAGCATCAAGAGTAAGTTCTATCGCGGCCATGTGGAAACCATGTTAGCTTACAGAGCTGTTGAATCAATTTGAAAAATGATATTTTTGTGCAAAACTGATGTATTGTTTTCTCTTGTCTTCACGTTATCACATCAGAATGAATTACTGCTCACTAAAACACAGTTTTTCGCTTACAAGGTTCAATATTTCATCAAATATGCAATGTGAAGACATAAATAATAAACAATGCCTTAAGCTGATTAGTGTTGTAGAGACTTGGTCCCAAATTATTATGTAATTACTTTCTATTTCAAAATACGTTACCACAGTCATTATAATGCATATTCCAACCTTACTTGGCTCTTTACATACGTAAATAAAGAATTTTTCCCCCCATGGGGAACCCCTGGGAAACCCACCAATCAGACGGCAGTATTCACGCACGTGATTTAAGACACGAAGCCATGCTTCCCACTTCATAATTCCTTCAGCCGGCCGTGTTTACGGACGTGTTTTGGTGTCTACGGGTTCCAACTACAACAGGCGTTGTTTGTACCCATACATTTACGTATCCTTTATAACTAGTTAACTTTATTTTGTTTTAATTAAGCTTTTTGCTTTGTTTTGCGCCGTTTTGCGACCAGGCTCCGGCCACGTGTTCGCGTTTTTGACGGTTTGTTTACGTTGAGATGGAGACTCCTCCTTCTCAAAGGCGCTGTCCTGGGGGTCATTTTTTTGAGGCTTCCGACCCCCACCCTTACTGTCCTGGCTGTCGGTCTTGCTCTCTGGAGCAGCCGTGTGAAATTTGCCGTGCCTGGCAGCCGACTCCTACCGGTGGTTCTCCCCGCCCGCGAGGGCGTGCAGGTAAGTCGGGTAGGAGGGGCGGTAGGGGTGGGGCGAGGGCTAAAGCTAGGCCTAAGCCCTCGGAGAGCACCAGCGGAATTCCGACCTCTGTCGAGTCTTCCCTGGGGTTCGTGTCGGCGGTTTCGACCCGTACCGGGGCCGCTGGGAAACAATTTGTTTCTTTGGACCCGCACCTTTCTCTCACCCCGCCTTCCGTTTTGTCGGTCGACGTGGGTGAGGGTTTGGGCTCTGTCCCGGTCACCACGGTGACTAGGGGACAGGGGGGCGGCCTTCTCTCCCAATTTGTGGTGGGAGGGCAGGTGGCCCAACATTCCCTTGGGAATATTAAACAGGCCAGCCATGTTGTGTCAGCGGATGCTTCTGTTGGTGGCCTCCTGCCGGTCCGCTCCACTCCTGAGGGTGTTGGTGTTGTCGGAGACCGGCCCCCGGCAGTTTTGTCTGCTCCCGGGGTTCCTTGCATCCCTGATGTAGCCCCTGGCGTGGTGATGGCGTCTAGCACGCCGTCCACCACTGTGCAGCATTTGCTGCCCGGTCCGGTGGTTAGTGATGCTTCGGCCTCGCTAGCCTCGGCTGGATTTTACGGTGGTGTGAGCACTGGTGTAAAAACCTATGCTTCCAGCTCTATCCCTTGTGCCTCCTCCCCAGGTTTTCCTATGGTAGGTGCCAGCGCAGCTGCGTTTGGTTTTGCCGGTGCACGCTGCTCCCCTGGTGGGGCTTGTTTTACTGGCCCTACAGGTTTTGGCCCTGCTGTAGGTCAGTCTGGGTGGAGTTGGTCAGGTCAGCCAGGTGTGGCTTATGGCGGCGGGTGTGTAGGTGGCCCTAGGTTCCCTACCCCGCCCCCCCAAACCGGTCCTGCCTCCGGTTTCGGGCATCAGGTTGGTGGCTCTGTTCCAGGGTCCTCCCTGGTTTATCCCACCTATTTGCAGGGTGGGAATGGAGCTCATTGGGGTCAACAGGCTCCTTTTTATGCTCCGCCCCAACCACCGACCGCCTATGGGCAGTCTTGGGGTTTCTCCCAGCAGGGGGCTTTTCCAGCCGCTCCCCCTCCACCCCAGGGTGGTATGGGTTTCCAGCCTGGATATGCCCCCCCCGCCTTCTTGCCTGCGGCGATGGGGCCCCCCCTCCATCCGCCACCGAGCCGTTCGCGCAAGCGTTCGCGCTCCCGGCCAGCTTCTGCTGCCGGTTCAGTCAGGCAGAGACCGCGTGATGCTAGGGCGGCTGGTCGTGCTGCGTTGGCTCGAGCTCCTATTTTGGAATTTGAGTCTACCAGTAACTTCCGCTGTCCGGTGTCAACTCCTACCTTACAGCAGGTTCCAGGGTCTTGTGGTCCTGCTCCTGCTGTTCCTCAGGGACTATCGATTGCCCCGATAGTTCCCTCGGGTAGGTCACGTTCTCTTTCCCCTCCTCGCACCCCTCCCCGGAGGGCGACGTTGATGGAGGTGGATTCGGCGGGTGCCTCTCCTAGTGATGAGAGGGACGTTCTTCGGGGCTCTCCTGGTTGCTCCAATTTTACGGAGACTCGGGATGAGGATAGAGTCGGCGAGTTTACTGACTCTGATTTAGAGTCGTTGGATTCGTCTGGGTTGGACTCAGAAGGCCCTTCTGATGTGTCCCAATCCCGGCCCCGAGATGCTGATCCGGTGCCTCCAGAGGTTTCGGCTTCATTTCGCACTTTACGTGCAGAAGTTATGAAGCTTCTGGGGGACGGGGTTTGCCCACGCCCTTCCACGGATTCGGCCGTCCCGGAGCGCACTTCGCTCCTTCAGAGCATGTTGCCTCCCCTAGCATCTGCCTCCTCGGCCTCTGCTAGGTCTCTTGCGGAGGGACGAGGCGTGGCTTCGTCCCTCGCTCAGGTCAACGCTTTATTAAAGCAGAAGGTGAGCAAGGCTCGCAAGCCTTTTTCCCTCTCGGCTTTACAGGTCGTGGTTGCGGACATCGCAGATTTAGCTGCAGATACGTACCGCATCCACGACCCAGTCTTGGCCCCTAATTCTGTTTCCCTTGAGAGGGATCTGGATAAGTGGCCGGGACGCTGTGTTGACCAGGTTGTGATGGGGCCTAGGGAGCACTCTAAGTTGGAGCGTCTCCTTAGGCTGGCTCTCCATGTTCTGTCCTACGCAGACTGGTTTACTTCTGCGTTGCTGGCTGCGAGCTGCAAGTCGGTGGAGCAGCTCCCCAGCAAGGTTGGACTGATGGAGCGCCTCAGCCAGGCAATTTGCAAGGCACATCTTGATGCGATGGCCTTACTGTCGGCTGCCATGTCACACCTTGTTGTTGCCCGCCGGTTGTCGGTCCTTTCTGGACTGCCAGTCGGCGATTCCTATCGGGCTACCCTTTTGGAGGCTCCCTTGACTGGCGAGGATTTGTTTGGCGGGGTCCTTCCCTCAGTGCAATCTGAGATGAGGTTGGACCCGTTTGCATCTGAGGATGCACGCCACAATTCCGCAGGCAAGGGCGCTAGCAGGAAGAGGCAGGCTTCTGGCTCCTCCAGGCGTAGGAGGAAGAGGGCAAAGACGACTGCTTTTCAGCAGCAGTCTGCCCCTCCGACTTCCGC